CTGTTTGAAGCGTACGATGTCCTTGTGGGTGATGTGGTTGTGGAGGGCCATATAGTGGGAGTGAATGGATCGTAGCCAGAGTGCATCGAGATGTGTCTTTGGTAATGAAGGGAGTGAGTTCCTGGTAGTCCATGATCGCAAGGCCAAACGAAGGGATGTGTAGATTTCTTTGGATGGTGGGAAGATTTTGTTCTGAAGTGAGCCAGTAGCAATGGATGTAAAAGGTGCATCGGCGAAGTGTAGACTATCTCCATCAAGGACCAGGTGTTGATCAGGATGATGAGGATGGCGCACATGTTGTCGTAAGGCCGCACATGCACATTTTGGAGTCTCACCGTCCGCCCATTTTGTAGCTGCTTCTTTGTGATTGCATAAACTGTCCATGACCGATGGGAACTTTGTAAATACAATACCGGTGGATGGAGTCTGTAAGGTAGTGTTGTATTGGTTGGTGCCGTGGACGTGGGTGGTGAGCAGCTTGCGGAGATCACGAGTCCAGTTGGGGGCCAGCAACCAGGGTGCTCGAAGAGGAACGGGTTTTCGTACTCGTTTGGCTTTCCAAAAGGTCAGAGCTCGGTCGATGGCATTGATCGCGTAAGAACGTTGAGGTTCTCCAAGGTTGTTGGCAAGGCGTCGAATGAAATAGCATCACCTTGCACTCCCCACCCAGAGTCCCACCCAACATTCCCCGCACTACAGTCTACACTTTACACACCACATTCTGCACTGAACTCCCCACTGCGCATGCCACAGGTTGCAATGGCGCGGTAACAGAGGAAAAACTTGCAATTTCTCTTGTTTTGTGTTTTTTTTTGTGTGATGTGCATTCGGGTGCGTGGACCGGATCAGGTTTCGGCTCCGCAATTTGCATGCCGTCCACCGTTTGGCTATTTTTTTTTTTGTTTTCCAGCCTGGTTTTGTGGTTTTTGTGGTTTCTTGGTTTATCTTGGTTTATTCTATCTATCTAATCTATCGAATTAATCTTTAATCTATCTATTTAATCTATCTGTTCAATCTATCTATTCAGTCTGTTTATTTAATTCCTTTTTAATCTCTCTATTTAATCTGTCTATTTTATCTGTCAAATAAATCCATCTATGTAATCTCTTTGTTTATTTAATCTGTCTATCCATTTAATTTATCTATTCGATCTTCTTATTTAATCTATCTATTTAATGTATCTATTTAACCTAAATCTTGGCGGAAACGAAAATGCAAGTTTCTAGGGCATATACCGCGCTGCCACCACTCTGACCCATTACATCAAGTACTTTTTTCGCACAACAGAATCTCATCCAGGACTCCCCCCCTTCTACGTCCTGGCAGGCCCAGAGCAGACTGGTGAGCCGAAACATAGTAAGACGCTTGCCAATACTTGTATGGACAAAACCGTGCGTTCAATATCAACGACCTTTCAGATATAAAACAAACAGCAAGAGACAGAACTGGACCCTTTGCAACGTAATGAATCTATACATTGACGCTTGGGACTTTGTCCCAAAGGCTTCTGGCCTCTCGAGGTAATGCTCGTGGTACTGCTCAAGATGTTGCCCGTATTGTAGGCCGTCGCTCTTTGGCCTTCTATTTTTCTGCTTCCCTCCAGTGCAATTTTCTGAAGTCTTTAACGTAGTGATTCTTTAGCGCTCGCTGATCTTAGACATAGTTAGATAGTTAGATATTTTTCCTAATGCCGGTTTCGGGTTCTTATTTCCTCTTTTGAATTCGTCTCAACCTTTTCAGCCTGACCGGATATCATGTGTCTTAAAGGTGTTGTTCCCACTCCCAGTTTATCGCCTGTTATTTTATTTTTTTTAAAAACGATTTTCACAACAGTCCTCGCCCAACGCAACATGGGGCATCCTTTTCAAGCTGTGCAAGGAAGCTGCTGGCCTAACCTAATCTAATCCAGCCTAACCTAATCTAATCTTATCTTACCTATCTATCTAGCTAGCTAGTGTAGCCGATCCAACCTACCCAATCTACCCAACCTATCTAATCTATCTAACCTATCAATTTATCAATCTATCAATCAACTTATCTATCTATGTCTATGTATTTATTTATCTTTTAACCTATCAATCTATCAATCTATCAAGCTATCATTCTATCATTCTATCAGTCTATCAATCTATCAATCAACTTGTCTATCTATCTATCTATCTTTCTACCTATCGATCTATCTATCCATTAATCTACCTATCTATCTATCTACCTATCTATCTATCCATCCATCTATCCATCTATCTATCTTTTTTTTTTCTCTCTCTCTCTCTCTCTCTCCCCATCTTGATGTGCACGCCTTGTATCGCTACATGCCCAACATAACCCCCCTAAATAAACCCTAAACCAACCCTAAACTAAATAACCCTAAGCCAACCCTAAATGAACCCTAAACTAGCCCTAAACCAACCGTAATAAAACCCCAACTCAACCCTAAATAAACCCTAAACCAAGCATAAATAAACCGAAGCCAACCCTAAATAACCCTAAATAAACCCTAAACCAACCATAAGCCAAGCCTAAATAAACCCTAAACCAACCCTAAACCAATCCGAAATGATCCTAAACCAACCCCAAACAAACCCTAAATAAACCCTAAGCCAACCAACGCTATGCTAGCATCCAATGCCACTATTTAGACCCAACACGGTTGTGCTTCAACCTATATTCTACATGTTCACCAGGCATGTTATGCATGGAAAAATCGATCGAAACCATGGACAAATCAACTGAAACCATGGCAAACGCAATGAAAACTATGGAAAAATCGATGAAAACTTTGGGTAAATCAAGGAACGCCATGGAAAAGTATGGAAAAATCGATGAACAGTACAAATGCTCCAAAATTCATCAAAGTACAGTTTATTTCTCCAAAATGTAGCAAATAGCAAGGAAAAGTGCCCCAGACCGAAAAAGAAAAAAATATAAAAAACAAAATCCCTAAAAAAAACTACGCCCGTTTGAAATGCCGTAACCAACAATTCAATCATGGAAACATGTTTGCAATGCTTGTGCGTTAGGAATGAAGGCCGCACCGAAGGGGGATATTCAGGAACCCCTTCCCTGAAGTGACATGGCAGATTTTTCTTTCCTTTCCCGCAGGTCATTTTCCAAGCCTACATGAAACAGAAAGGGCCGATCGAGTAGTTTTGTCTAAGCCCACGGTTCTTGGTAAAAAACAATTTCCAAACAGAACTAAGCCAGTCAATCCCATGCATTGTTGGATTCAAATGGTTTCAGTGGTCGTGGCAGAAAACGAGTTGGTTGCCCAAAGCAAAATTGGCTGCATTATGCACAAAAACATACGTTTGAACATATTTTGCGTGGTCATGATTATTTGGAATCCCGAAATGAAGATGCACGGATATATAATGCAGCCATATGCAGAACATTTTAGGTCGCGACACGGACTTTCGGCTACGCCCACGCCCTGCGTTGACCTTTGACTAGTTTTCATTGCAGGTTACGGCTGGGAAAAAGACTAAACATTGACGTCCAAACATAGGTGTTCACTATCGTTTTTTGGCGGCGGCAGGGGCGGGAAAACCATGGTTACATTATGATGGTGATGGAGGAATCATGATGAAATGGTTTCGATGCAAAAACTTGGTCCTACAGCCGAGCCGGAAAATTAGGCGAAATGGGCGCAAATGATTTCCAATCGGATTTTTTTTACATGACACTAGGTTTTTTTTTTGTTTTATGTTTTTACCGAAGAGGAGGGCAGAACAAACTGTGGACAACCTTGACATTGTGTAGCATTCATGTGCTTGGATTTGTGGATGCTGGCTTCCTCATGCAGGGTTTGAGGGCAGTGGGACGGTTGTAATCTGCACAGTTTGGTTTTTGTGTTGCGCAGTGAGGATGATTTCTTATGGGTCGGGGCGGGTTTCCTATCTTGGTTCTGGTCGTCATTGTGCTTTGTATTGCAGTAGTTGCTTGTTTGTTAGATGTTGAAACTGAAAGTGCGTTCGAGGAAAAAATACGTTACCGTCCACCTATGTTGGCGGCGCCTCTAAATTTTTAGGAGCAAACTGGTGTGCAAAACAGAAACTTTGCAACATGCGAACTCCATCCATGTTTGCACGGAACGAAGGTCTTGACATTTTAATTTTTGCTGGCGAGGTGGAACGCCATCGAAAACCATTGTTTTTAAGACTACAAGCACGAATGCTTGCCAACGTTTCCATATGCAGGTACTTCGCCTGGAGTTTCCGTCCTACATTTTTCCGTGTTACTCGTGTTTTTATCCGGATTCACTGGCAGCAGGTTTATTTCTGCCACAGCCATAGCCACCGACAAATCTGAGAAACGGTCCAATGTTACCAATTCCCTGCAATTGTGTGCAATTCCATTTTTTGTGCGAAAAAAATATTCAATATGAGTTAAACACTGGAATCCAACATGTTCCAGGTGGAAAGCCAACAAAACACAGCCATGATCCATGATTAATAATGGTTAATGCATTGACCGTGCGCTGGGAATGTGAGAAAAAAACGTGACGTCATGAATCAAAGAAAAACCACTGCATGTTTCAAACTAATTTAGTGGGGTTGACCTTATTCCTTGCCTGTTTCCGATGTTTGTGGTCCGTCTGTGGCGACCTAATCGGAGTGGTCTACCTGGAGGTTTGCAAGGGTTGTGCCACGTGCTGGGTTAGGATTCCACAGTCATTTTGGTTTCCTTCGAATTCCTTTTTCTAAAAGTGGAGGTCAAGCGGTCCTTGGGCACCCCTGATTCTGACCTCATAGGATGACCTTCCATGCGCCGTACCATGCAGAACCAGCCCCCCCAGTGTTTACAGTTTCCCTAGTTCCCATGTGTCATTCCTTATTGGATACGTAGCATGCCATGAGCCGCTTTGCTCCAACAGTCTGCTGCATTCATGTGTGAAAACCAATTTCCAATCACTATTTCAAAACATTGGGACCTCAATCCGAAGCACCAACACACGCACACACACGCACACACACACACACGCGCGCGCACACACACACATTCACACGCCCAACAACCATTGTGGCAAGAACCACTCGTACGAAACTTCGTGAATGAAGCCGTCCACCTCAAGATGAAGCTTTCATCTTAATTTTTGGCACACAGAGTTACATCGTTTCAGCACTTGGATCATGTCCATGCTTCGGTTGGTTGGTGGACCAAGGAAAAAAAAAGACAAAACCGCGTTGGAGCTCAGAAGCCGTGGGTTGTTCGCATCAAACTATGCTGTTGATACTGGTAATTAAGGCCAGACGACCTTGATGGTGCTGGTGACAGCCAAGCTGCAGAGCAAACCAGTTTGCTTGGTCGCAAGGATGGTACACGTTCGATTGTCAATAATTTTGGCACGGCCGAGTTGCAACTTCCCATCACTTTTTGGTTCAGCATCTCAGGTTCGGAGGGAAAGAAAAAATACCGGAAAGACAAACCATGGGACCATGAAGGAATTGATCACTGGAAACCAGTGCTGCTCAGCATTGCATCAGCACGCTGCTCCAGTGCGTTGTTATATAACACAGTTGCCAAAATTCATGTTTTCCCGAATGCGTAGCAAGGGTTCCCGTTTCACTCTGGGGGTCTGGGGGTTGAGGGTGTGTGTTCGCTCGACGTTGCGTTTACGTCCGCAACTGCCCGCAACCGTTCGCAACCGTCCGCGTGAGGTCGCTGTGGCCGTGCCTATGGCGAGTTTTGCAACAGTGGTCACTTTGGGAGGTTTCAGACGTCGCGTAGCCTCGTGTTGCGTGGCAGACGTGGCTTTTTGTGACATTCCAACATGTTTCATGACGTGTCAAAAGTCGTTTTGTGTGGCAGGCGCAATACTTTTGCATCGCTTTCAGAAGATGAGTTGCAGTTCTCCTGCAAGGCGCAGCACTTTGCGTCATTTCGCATGGCAGGCGCACCACTTTGGACGTGTCGCGTCGCATGTCTTTTACGAATCGCGCTGAGGTGGCGACACGGTGCAAATCGCGTGGCAGGCGTAGCATTTTGTGAGATGTGCTGAAAATTGACGGAAGCCTCGGACGAAACATCGATTTTGAGGTAGCAAATCTTGAGGTTCAGAAGGGAATTGGTAGGAAAACGTCGATTTTGAAGCTACACAGCCAGTGTGAAATTTGGAGGAAGTCTCCCACGAAATGCTCGTTTTGAGGCTGCAACATGTCTTGTCTCGATTCTCTGGTTTTCTTTTGCCGTCGCCGTGTCTATGGGGGAAGCTGCAAAACATCTCCTTTTCGAAGGAGTCGAAGCAGGTTGGAATGTTTCGTTCTGCGTGGCAGGCGTGGCACTTCCTGACACTCGCACGTGTCTGCACTGTCGGAAGTCGTTTTGCGTGACAGCGCGCAGGTGCGGCACTTTGGAGATCTCCATTGTCATTTGGCGTGCCAGGCGCTGTCGTGTTGCGTGTTTGTTGCGAATCGCATTGTCAGAGCTGCGTCGAGTGGTGACAATGTGCAAATTCCGTGGCAGGCGTGGGACATTGTGAGACTGTCATTTTGCGCGGCACCACCTGCAGCATTTGGTGAAGATCCGTCGTGCGCAGGCGCAGTATTTCGCACACTCTATACTCTATACACTCTACTTTACACTTACACTTTACACTTTACACTCCGCTCTACACTCTACACTTCACACTCCACACTGCACACTGTACACTCCACACTCAACACTTTCCACTATACACTGCACATTTCACACTTTACACTCCACACACTACACTTTACACTCCACACTGCACACTGTACACTCCACACTTTACAACGCTTCACATGTCACACTTTGTACACTCCACACTTTACACTTTACACTCCACACTTCACACTTTACACTGTACACTCCACACTTACACTCCACACTCGGCACTCTACACTCCACACTCCACAATCTTCACTTTACACTCCACACTTTACACTCCACACTCCGCACTTTACACTCCCCACTTTACACCCCACACTCCACAATTTACACTCCACACTTTACACTCTACATTCTACACCCCACACTCCACATTCTACACGATTCTACACGATGCTACACGATGCTACACGATGCTACACGATGCTACACGATGCTACATGATTCTACACGATTCCACAGGATTCTACACAATTCTACACGATTCTACACGATTCTACACGATTCTACACGATTCTACACGATTCTACACGCTGCACTTTACACTTCACACTCCACACTTTATTTACACTTTACACTCCACACATTACACTCAACACTCCACACTTTACACTTCACACTTTACACTTTACACTCCACACTGTACACTCCACACTTTACACTTTACACTCCACACTTTACACTTTACTCTCCGCACTCTACACTCTACACTTAACACTTTACACTCCACACTTTACACTGCACGGTCTACACGCGACACTCCACACACCACACTCCACACTTTACACTCCACACTCCACACTTTACAGCACACCCCACACGCCAAACTCCACACTTTAGATTTTACCCTCCATGCTCCACACTCCACACTTTACACTCCATACTTTACACCACGCTCCACACTCCACACTTTAGATTTTACACTCCACGCTCCACGATCCACAGTCGACAGTTTACACTCCATGCTCCACACTTTGCACTTTACACTCCATACTTTGCCCTCAACACTTTACACTTCTCACTCCACACTGTAAACTCCACACTTGACACCCCTCACTCCACACTCTACACTTGACACTCCACACTCCACACTCTTCACTTTATACTCCACGCTCTACACTCTACACTATACACTCCACACTTTACACTCCACACTCTACACTCCACACTCCACACTCTGCACTCTAAACTCTACACTTTACTCTACACTGCACACTCCACACTCTACACCTTACACTCCACACTTCGCACTTTACATTTTGCACTCCACGCTTTGCACTCCACACTCCGCACTTTACACTCCACACTTTGCAGTTTACGCTCCGCACTCTACACTTTACACTTTACACTCCACACTTTACACTCCTTACTCCTCACTCCCCACTCTACACTTTACACTCCGCACTGCGCACTCCACACTCTACACTTTACACTTGACACTCCGCACTTGACACTTCACACTGTACACTCCGCACTCTAGAATCTACGCTCTATATTTGATACTCCAGACTCTACACTCTACACTCGACATTTTACACTCCACACTTTACACTTTACACTCCGCACGTTACACTCCACACTCCACACCTTATCTTTTCACTCCAAACTCCACACTTTACACTTTACACTTCACATTTTCCACCCTACACTTGACACTGTATACTCCACACTCCACAATCCCCACTTCACACTCTACACGCTATATTCCCCACTCACTACTCCACTTTCTTTACCGCACACTTTGCCCTCCTCGCCCTTTCATAGTGCACTGGTACGGTAATCGAGGCAAAACGGAATAATCTACAAAATTGTTCAAATAATTGTTTCACAAAAATGTTTTAGGTAGTTGCATTCGGGTTCGTTGGTTTTTTTGTCATGATCCGTTTTTATGACATGTCATTGTTCTTCTGCCAAGTTCCGTTTCTGAGGGCCATTACCAAAGATGATGTGCCGTCGTCCGGTGTGCTCATGGAAGAGAGCTCCTTTGCGACACTGTTCCCGCAGTACCGGGAACAATACCTGAAGTGCCCCTAGCCCATTGCAAAGAGATTCAAAGTCACAACGAATCCAGAAGTTCCATGTCGCTTGGAATGGTGCCTCGAAATGTTACCAGCAGCCAGGCAGGTTTGGCCCGATGTGAAGGCATTGCTTTCAGAGTGCCTTGTCGCAAAGACATATCCGCCATTGTCTGCCACTGTTGCCTCACGGTTTTTGATCAATAGCGACAACCACTGAGGCATGAACTTTTGGGCGAACTGAACCTAATTGAGGGCTCTATGACAGTGAGGACAACGAAAAAAACCTGGGATCCATACATTATCCTGAAGGCCATTGCGTGGGAGACATAACTGAATTGTGTTTGACTCGGCACGTAAAGTTTCACTCTTGCAATGTCCCACCAGACTCTGCAGGGCATAAACTTGGATTCTTAATTTTCATTCGGATTTGTAGTACTTGGTAGGAGCGGCTCCATTAAAGAAAAGGTTCAATGACGTGGACACTGGGAATCGTAACGGCATTGTCAACGGCAATCCAGGCCAGGGACATGATCAAACTTCTGGCCAGAAGTGTGCCTTTCCCGCAAGCGAAGAAGGTTTTAGAGGATGAGGCTTGGTGATTTGGAAAATCTTGGAATCAACACCATGATATTTTGAGCCAGTTGCCTGTTGATGCTGCAATGTTGGACCAGGTCTACTGCGACATCATGAAGATCGGAGGCCTATTGTCAATCAGTATATTACTGTACCATTCGCAATAGGGGATTGCCATTGTTGTGAATTGTGAATGGTTGGCTTTCCAAGAAACCAACTGCAGCTTATCATAAGCAAATCGTCAGTTGTGGCAGAACTGGCAGGTTTGGTGAGGTCCAAGGAGCGTTTTGTGAAGCGCCGCCAGCGGCTTGTGGGGCCAAACGGCTCAACATTGAAGGATGGGCTGGGCTGGGAGTAAAGCGAGCAGTATGGATCGGATTTGGTTGGTGGTTTTCAGAATCATTTTTTTCAATCCCTCCTTGCGATGTTCATCCCCACTGGATACTTACCAGGCGGTTAAAGGTGGTGACCACAACCTACGATGCCATGCGTGAGGCTATTGAGCTCCTCACGCAGTGCTTCGTCTTGGTTCAAGGTCAAACCGTTTCCATCATGGGGTCAGTCAAGGGCATCAAGCAGGCCGGGCTAAAATATCAGCGACATGCCGACATGCCGACATGCTTGGCATTTTTCGTGATATTGTGGACAGTCTAGAAATTAAAATAGTGTTGAAATGGTTGTGACTTGTTGAGATGGTGTCTATTGCAGGCGCGAAGAATAGTGGAGGATTGCTTTCACAACATCCATCCGAGTCTTCGTCAGATTGTGAGTTGGTCGTTCGGTATTTGCCGTCGTCCACTATTTTGATCCCAGCAACACATGACGCAAATGTGTATCAAGTGAAGGATGATGGACCAGCAACTTTCAAACACTTGGTGCTACTTTCATGTGTAGCTCTAAACGTCAAGCAGTCAAACAATAATATGGAGCCCCAAAGTCTGATTTTTCTGCGCAAACACATGCATTTTCAGGGCAGAACGAAAACATGGATGCGTCATTTCCAGCGTTTTTAAAAGCCAAGGATCTACCACATTAAAGAGTTGATGATCCGTCGGGAGTTAGAGAAGGACCCAGAATTGAAGAATGAAAACTGGGAGCGGTTCCTGCCTCACTTCAAAAACCGCAACGTGCAGCGGAAGAAAAAGATCAAGAAGGTCGGTTTATTTTTTTTGTCTTCCCGAGTCTTCCCATGTTTTTTTTCTTTTTTCTTTCCCTCATGAGTTAAACAATGTTCAACACGATTTGAATAAAAGGGCCAATTCTTTGGACAAAGCTACTTGCGGAGGCAAAGAAAAAGAACAAAGACGTGTTTCCACCTCAGCCTACGCCCAGAAAAGAGGCTTGGTTCTTCTGCGGTTGCTAATAGTCAAAGGTGCTTCTTCGGTATGTATCGAACATTTGTGCAGGACCTGCAGATGGAGACTGGAGAGTACTTCCTCAATGTTCCTGGCTTATAGTGCTCCAATTCCCACAATTCCCTTTGTGTAGCCTTTCATTGTAGAGGAATTCTTGGATTCTCGTCATTCAACGGCTGTTTTGAGTTTGAAATAAGGAGAAGGAAAAAGAGCTCAGAAAAAGAGTTGCCAAACGTGAGGCAAACAACAGCACAATGTGTTGATGGCACATTGCAAAAAAACACAGAGCCCGATGGATCGCATTCAACTTCATTTGGCTCTGCAATACTGCAGTGCCATCTCAATACCTTGTCCGAGAGGATACAGTGCACCAGTTTCTTTTTCCCCCTCCCTCTGTTGCCGACATTGCAGAGAAGGGTTTTGTGCAAGTTTCCCATCATTTTCTTTGCGCAAGTTTACGTTTTTCAATTTAATTTCATGCACGCTCCTGATCTGGCCATGTAGGCTCAGCAAGCCAAAAGTGCAGAGAAAAGAAGAGAACGTGCGAAGGCTTTTGCAATGCTGGGCTTGGCGTTTGCTGTCGCAAGCGTCTCTTTAAATCACCTCTTGCGATCAGGAATTTGAGCCACCTGCACCCTCGAAAACCAAGAAACAGAAGGGAAAGGAGGTGGACGAGAGCGCCAAGGCCTGAAAATGAGATGACGTGAGCAATGTCACAGTTGTCACATTTTTTTTGAAAGTGGCTGCATTGGTTTGGCCAGCTTGCCCATTTGCATTCCATTTGCCAAATTTGGCCGTGGAGGAGATGGCTCAACGTTTGGCCAAAAAGGCGAAGGAAGGAAAACCGCCGAAGAAACGGGCAGCTTCCGAGCTGCTACTGTGATCAATGCACCTGGACCAGCGTGCTCGACATCACTCGACATCACTCGACATCACTCGACATTACTCGAAAAAGTGCGCACAGATTTTCGTACGAAACAGACGTGTTGCCAGATGTTGCAAGTGTGGTGCAGATGGGGTGGCTTCAAATATGTTTTGAACTTTGAACCCAGTATCTTCGTTTTGGACCTATCAGCAGTACAGGTTGCGCGCCTGTGGCTCGATAGAAACGACTGGCTTTGAGAGTTGCAATGTTAGCATCAAAGGCCCACTACTTCACCAGTGATGACACCCCAATATTGGCTGATTGCATTGTGGTGGTACAAATCTCAGAAGGACAAATAAGTCAGAAGAACCCAGGAGCCGTTGTTTTGTAGAAGAGTCTGGAGGGAAGAAGTGGTTCTGCCAGCAGACAACGGGTTTTGAGAGAACCAGTGCCACTCTACTTCTCCAGCATGTTCAACCAACCCAAAATGCAAGCAGAAACAGTAAAACTAATCCACTAATCCAGCTGTAACATTTCAAATTACACAGGCACACTCAGTGCGATCCCTCATCCTGCAAAGATGGTACATTCAGGCTGCAGTTGGCTTTTGTTTGACATGTCATTGTTACACTGGCAAACTGGTTCGAGTCGGGTTTTCTCAGCTACAAGCTGCCAAGCTGCTAAACATAACCTTGTTCTGCTAGGTGGCACAGGTCTTGCGTTTGGCATTGTGCCCTCCTCAGTTGACATAGCAAGACATATCCCCAGGCATTGTCCCTTGCGGCCCTTGCGTTTGCAATGTTTGCACAGGCGACCGTGCTGGCTGCCACCCAGCTCCGAGATAGAACGAGCTTCGTTGAAAGCTTTGCAGCTCCACTTCGGGGGCTTGTTCCTCGAGCTCCCGAGCATGGCGTTGCTTAGCTGAGATGTGGTGCATTGTGTTTGGACTCTTCTTCCTTGGAAAAGCTGGTTGGCAAGGACCAAACAAACCTGCTGTTCAATGGTAGTTACTAGTTAAGGTTGAACAATGTAATTGTCATTATAAATTAAAACTATATATATATATACGTATTACTGTATATATACGTATATATATATACATACGTGTATATATATATATGTATAAAATACATATATGTATATATATATACGCATACATACCAATTGTTATCACACAGGGATGCTGTAGAGCTTCATAGTTTGTTTCACACACGTGTTTTATACAGCAAGATATGTGTCGGCCTCGCTGCACGTCAGAGGTGCCCAGAGGACGCAGTTCTTCAAGCTCAAGTGGTTTCACGGCAATTATATACTGTGGCAGCTGCATGTCAATTTTCCTTGGTTCTTTGAGAGGCTTGAGCCCTGGCTGCTAACAACGATGACAGCCACAGCTAAGGTTCCGAAGCAATCCTCGCTGCCAGCATTTTCATTGCTGCTGCGTCTAGACATCCGCGAATACGTGGCACTGCTCGCCATGCAGAGGATGGCGGTGATGCAAGATCCAAAGATAAAAGCCATAGAAAGAATACTGAAAAAGCCCTGACTGACGAAGCGGTGGAAGAGACTTTGCTGACTTTAAGGCTTTAAGGATTCAGAATTTCAGCCTTTTCCGGATGAGCCATGTTTCCCTGATTTTGGTGTGACTGAGGACATGGACCGTCAAATGGTCGATTGCGCTGAGGCTGGAGACTACGAAGGACTGCGGGTTGTTTGCTGCCGGCCTCTCTCATTCTCTGTCAGCATTAGCTGCCCCTATCATGTGCCCGGCAGGAGCTGCGGCCTTTCGGGATAAGCTCTGTTCTGCCCAGCTCGACGATGAGGCCAGTGTGCTTCAGGCAAATGTGGAGTTTTATGCAACTCGGCTTGACTTTGTCATTTCGGGACACTGTGGTCTTGCAAGACTCCTTGCGTAATCCATTAGTGCCAGCAAATTGTGCCAAGAGGCGTGCAAAGTAAAGCTGCACTGAGGCAGCTTTTTCGCAAAGAGATTTTGAGAGGATAAAGGCTTGCTGGTTGCCATCTGCAGCTGTGCAGTGTGTTCATCCTTATGTCGCTTGGCTGAGGAGATTGGAATGTCTTGCAGCTTGCAGAACCTTCCAATTCTGAGTTGACTTAACTGCATTAACTGCCAAGGACAAGACTAGCTTCCTTATGAATGGACTTTCCGAGATTAGCATCTTGGCTGCCCAACCCCGGCTGACCGCTTGTGACTGTGAATTGTGAAATGTCCAAGTTCTGAAAGCAATCAGCCGGCCTGGTGTCAAGTGACCCAGACCTAGCCAAGGTGAGTCCTTCAAGCGAGTGTTTGAAGAGTCCAAAACAAAGAATCGGTTAGTTCCTGAAGAGGTGAAGGCACAGCAGTGCACAGCGATGCACAGCAGTGCACAGCAGTGCACGTAACGAGAGTATCGGCAAGGCAACCGAGAAGTCGTTGAAGTCTGCCGTAACTCTTATGTTCTGCAGGTGAACTTGCGGGGTGCCACCGCAGTTGTCACATGCCAAGAGAAAATTGTGAATAACAAGAAGGTTCAGCCGGGTCCCGAGTCAAACGCTTCGAAGCAAGTCGCATCACCAGTTCTGCTGGGCCCTGCCGGGCCCTGCCGCCCTCTCAGGAGCACGCTGCTGGCAACACATGTATTCAGAAGAGGTCCTCGTGGCAAGTGGCTGCTCTTGCACAGACATGCCAGCAAACCACCAGGAACTGCTATTTTTGTGATTGTTTGCGTGTGTCCTTTTGTTTGGGTCCATCAATGCTTGTTGCTATCTCTTCCACTAATATTGGCGATATGCGCAAGAGACGGGTAGTGTGCATTGCTGCATTTCACGCAGGAGAGTGGTCGATGATCAATGGCGATGAGAATGGAGTTGCATGGAACGCGCGTTTGCAACAGCTCATGCGTGCGGCCCAAACCTTGGGACCAGGAAACGCTCAACTCATCGTCAATACAGCCAATCCGTTTGACCAGGATGATGAGGGTGATGGTCCCTTTGGGCTCACTGGGGTCATCACAGCTCATGATGCCGACTCGGACTCTTCTGATTCAGATGATGATGAGCCTGGTGAGCTGTACGTTGAAGATGATGACGAGTCGATGATGGAAGAAACACGGCGGGACGTGTGGAAAGCTTTGAGGACTGCTGATATGGGGGCCTGCCAGAGCAACTGCCAGTATTTGTGCACTAATGATAGCAAAGCGACATGGCGCAGCGTTGATTTCCGATGACAGTCCCGGCAGGGTGAGCTTTCATTTCGGTTTCAGTACCACGTAATAAAATGATATGTGCATTATTACCTGTGCACACGTATGTTACATAGCTGTCATTCTCACCTTTTGTGCCGGCTATTCCGTCAGGAAGCTGGTGATTGAAGGCTGGATCACCTCCGAAGATAAAATCGAGATCCTGGCCGACATGCTTGAACATCCGGAAGTTCACACCCCAGCGGCCCCAGCTTTTGTTAAAATCGCAGCTGCTGATAGCCATGGCAAAAAAACTGAGGACTCCATGGTGGAGAAAGCTCATCGGTTGTTGTGTCCCTTTGATGCAAAAAGACTTGGTTTGAAAAAGACGTGTGGCTGCCACCTCTTTTCTTGGAGATTTCTGTTCACGATTATATAGAACATTTTGCATGATACATGTCTATGATGTGTATGTCAAGGCGTACGCATATGTCATATGACTTGCACAAGAACATATGGATAGAACGCATACATATAGTATAAATATCTTTCAATTGTATGGTATTGTATGACCTGTGCAAGAAAATATTGGTAGAACATATAATAAAATAGTATATACACGCACACACACACACATCTCTCTCTCTCTGTGATTTGTATATATTTCTATCTTCGTCACTCTGCAGGTACCAATGTAGGGGATGCAGAAAGACGCACCGCCTGGGAAGACTTTGGCGAATTGATCGCCCTCCAGGCAGGTTGCCGAGCTCGCCAGAAATTGTGGCCCTGATGGCCATAGCCAGGTGAAAAGGCTCAAGTCGAAGGCTTCCAAAGAGTGAGCAGCGCAGCAAGCGCAGCAAGCGCAGCAAGTAGCTCGAGCAAAAGTGTTTTCACAACGTCACAGTGGCTGGGCCGGCTGTCATGTGCTGTCGTGAGGGAGCAGCATTAGCAGAAATGAGGATAGCGTACCTACTGTTCCACCATTTAACCACAGTTTCCACAATCTTTTAGTTCTTGATTCCTTGAACCCTATTGAAATACCTTCCAACTTTCTTGAAAGTTTCTGTAGTCAGACCAATGATAGGTCAAATTTGAAAACAAAGGAATCTGAAGGTTACTGCAACGTTGCAACACCCCGTTGGCCTCAGCATTGTGCGGCAGAGCTTTGTCATGTCAGATTGCAAGCGACCAGAAGCAGGCGCTCCGTGGAATGCGAACATAGGCAATGGAGGGCTGAGAAATGTCATCCTTGATGCTGTAATGTGGCCCCTTTCTCGGAACGCTTTCAAACAGAACTGGTAGTAGCTTGCTGGGACAGAAGCATGCCAGGTGCAGATAATATTGTTTGATTTTCAGGCAGCACTCCAACAAGCAGGGCGGGATAGTCCCTCTTCAGGATGACAATAGCACCACGTTGTAGCGTTTCAACTTCCCAACTTTCGCTTTGAAACTTAGTACGTAGGTCATAGGTGATTGAACATCTGTCTCCGTTGATCAGAATCAACATACGAGTGCTTTTTGCCCAATTGCTTGCCAATACATGGCAAATTGCGACCTTGTAGCAAAAATCCCGACCTCGCTGTGAATGTTGCCTGAAAATAAACTGGCAAATCTTGCCTTCCCGGTGCCTTCTGCTAAGAGTGTCTTGGGCAAAGCCCGAGCTAAGCCGTTGTACACAGCATGGCTCAGCGCTCAATTTTCTACAAGCTGTATCTCTTGTGCAGTTCGATCCGCTGCAAAAGTGTCCTTGATAGTCTGCTTGGTGGGACTCTTGGTGGGACTTGTGTGTCAACTGAGAACATTCCACCATTCCATCCAAGATGAATCGTAGCTCAAAGTGGAAACATGTGACACTGAATCATTCATTGGCCTTCTTCTTCGTCACTACAGTCACTCGCATCTCGCAATGGTCTTGAAAGATCATTGATGGGTTCTGTGGGAGAACTTCTGCCCACACCTGTTGCTCTCAGATTTCTTCGCCGCATTTGCAGCTACTGTAAAGCTTCTTGAGTGCTCCCAGGGCAAGCAATTTATAAAGAAAGCCAGGGCCGCTCACTTCCAGACAGCTGAGTACGGGAATCGTCTTTGACCCTGTATGCTACGGTAGAATTCAAGCCATCAACCATCATAGCCGCCCTCGCGGCAGAGCATTTGAGTCTTCTTGCACCCTGTTGCGCGATGGTAGCAGGATGGGAAGTGAGCATGGAGGAGAGTATGAAAGGCATGGTGCCCAAAATGGCGAAATCCATCGCAGGGAAAAAATTGCCTCCAGTGCCCTCCTTGCGCCCGGACAAGAAGGGAAAGCCATTGACTTCAATCATGCTCTTCTACCAGTACGTGGAACCTGCATGGACTCCAAAACAGCACCGGAGAGCCTTGACATTTGTCCTTGGCTCAGACATTTGGATGGATTCATTTCAGTTTGGAACTCCTTCCGTTTCATGGCGTACGTTGAGGTGCATGAGCTTGGCAAGAAACATGGAGTCACTGGTAGAGGGCGCTGCTCAACAGAGGGATTGAATCTTGTCTTGACTTGACATAGCTGCCATAGCTCACGAATTTCAACCTTCACAGCAGAAGCAGAGAAGTTCTCCATTCTCATGGTTACACATGCGCAAAAGTCTCACAGTCACAAGTGTCTCCGTTTTCCAGCTTCGCCAATTGCGCCGCGAGGAACTGCACCCTCACGGGAACCGCAGAAGGTGTGAGAGCTTTTGCCCAAGGATTACGAGATACACGGCAGCAGCATGCAGCGATGCTTTTGTTTCAGCATGTCACTGTGTCATAGGCCCTCATTTGACAGCTCCAAGGATTGGGACTCGTTGTTTGATGAGACCGACTTCAAGATCACTGACGGCTTAGAACATCACAAAAAGTTCAAGAAGCTTTGGCTGCACTAAGCCAAAGCCCAACTAGTTGTGAAGTTGTGTTTGACAGCATCCACAATCCCAGGTGTCCCTTGGGCGCAGAAACACTGTGCCAGATTCTGCAGCCAAGGAGCCTCACGATTCAAAAGAAGGAGGAACTGGTGCCCTGGTGGAACTGGTGGAACTGGTGGAAAGAGTCCACCTGCCCGAACAGCACTGGACAGCAGTGGCACAACTGTGGTGCCAAGACGTTGAAGTCCCTCTATGTCCCTCTCCTGGAACCTCGGACGATGCCAAGTTACGGAATGCACCCCGTGCTTTCTGAGGTTGCTTACGGTTTGCCTGTCAAAGCTGCGCCATCACTCAAAGACAACGAGACAAAGCATGTGGAAGCAGATGATTATCACAAGCTGCTCATCTGAATCAGGTCCTTTCCGGGTTGTACCTTTTCCAGACATGGCAGCACTTCCGAAGTATAGGGAGGAATCGCGGAAACAGTAGGAAGGTGCTAGGACAGGATTGTCACAGGTGTTGCACGGTTTTGCCTTGTTGCTGTGCTGGAGGATGATGGCAGAGCCAAACACTGTGATCATTGATGCGGCTTGTCTTAAAGATCTTAATAGCAGCGTGAGCATCGTGAGCTGTGGGTCAACTTGAGTTTTCAAGACATGCCAGTTGAATCCAGTTGAGTAAGTTGCGGAGCGTTTTGCTCAACTCTCGGAGGTAAGAAATAGATACGAGACGGAGATCGGACATTTTCAGCCTCCAACGGGTGGCGCCGAGTTCATTGATCCCAAGGCGGGAAGTCCAGCTGCAGGTCTTCAGATATCTCTTGATTTGGCGGTGTTTCTTCATGGCATCCATGGCAGGTTCGAAACAGCCACGAGCTGCCAAAGTGGCTTGGGATGCCGGAGACGCAGGAGTGAAGATAGTGAAGCCGATGGAATCATGATGCACGGCCATATGCTGCATATCCAGACGGAATGTGTTGAGCAGATCCAGGAGAAGCTCAAGGGCAAGAAAGTCATGATGTACTGTGGCTTGCCTCCTGATGCCCTAAAGAGAGATGGGGAAAGGACAGCGGAGATATCAGAGGACTTTTATGCAATGGGCAATGGGACATGCGGATGCATGAGTCGTTTTCTCTCAGGTCTGCTTCAATAATCTCTTGACATATATACATATATACATATTTGTCTTGTTTTGTTTCATTCTGTTTCGTGTCTCAATCCGTTTGAACATTTTTGAGCTCTGAATTTCAATGCAAGGCACAGGAGGCATTCGATGCGAGCGCTTCTCTGCCTTGATGACCCAGCTGAAGCGCGGATCTTATGAAGCAGGCAACACATAGCAAAACACCAGAGTTAAACTGTCTTAAACCTTCACTTCTTCGGGCACAGAGTCAGAAAAAAGAGTTCCTGTACTCGCGGAGCCTATCACTGCTTCACAAGGACTGAAAATCCCGACTTTCAGACAGAAGGAGAATTTATGCTAAGAGGAGGCATCGAGCGCTATGTGCGCACATTTCCAGAAGGTGGCTTTTGGAAGGCCCAGGGTTTGAAGCTTTGTTTGATGGGCAGTCCATTTGCTAGCTCACTACTGTTCACTGGCTACACTAGTTCGAATTTCTATAGCTCCAGATTTGGCGTCAGGGCTGACGGCACTTCACTGCTCATTGCTTTGCTTCAACTGCAAATGCCTCCCAGGGGAAGAACTTTCTTTTCGACAAGCGGCAGGAGCAGGTGCCAGAGAACAAGCCCCTGGAAGAAACAGAAAAGGAGGCAGGTCCAGCACGATGGTGTGGTTTTAGATGGTTTTAGTGACTCTAGCATGGGCACCAATGGCCAGCCAATGGCGGGGGGCCCTATTTTTCCAACACCAATCTGAAATTGAAATAGATTGTGCTTAGTGCTCACTTGCCTCATTTTTAGACTTGACGCCTCCATGAAGGTTGAGAGCAAGTGCTGCGTTTGCAAAAGACTCTGGGGTCTGTACCGCGGGCAGTTCAAATGCTCTCAGGAGGTGAGGGAGGGTGGTCGGAATGCAACAGATCGCCAGCCGCTGGTTTGATTGGCTTCCCCCTTGGCAGACCTGCCAGGATTGCCAAGTCCCCGTGATTGTTTGCCCTGACTGCAGAGCTGAGCTGGAGACTTCACCAAAACCGATCCAATGCCCATTGTGTGAGGACAAGTGTTTCAGTCACTGAGCGGCATTGTCGCTGATGCGTGGATGGTTTGAGTTTTCTTCAGGACCTTTCGAGCTTTTTGGCTGCCAGGAGGGTTTTAAGTTGAGAGACCTTCAAGCTCCAACTTTGCACACGGGAAAGCGTAAGGCCTGCTGAAAAACTGAACCAATATGGAGCTGGGATGAGAGACGCGTTGTATCTCAGGAGATATCCAGGATCTCATTTTTGGTCCTGCAGGTGTTGGCTTCACTCAAGTTGTAAATTGGGAATGAACATCTCGGCTGCTTCAGGCTGATGCCCCGGAAGCAAATGCGCCGCGAAGCAAGAAGAGAGTGCACGCCTCAATATTTGAGGTCCGGAGATACGATGACCGACTCAAAACATCTCAAGATCTGTTCAGAAGCATTTGCTCGCAGGGTATGGTTTTGTCTCCCATTAAATCCCCGTGTATGTAAGTTTTGAGTGATGTAATTTATTCAATTTTTTGGGGTACATACGCAATTATTGAGGGTTACTAGTTACTAGCTCTATCCACAGGCTTATCCAGCTGCTCCAGCAATTGCTCCTCCCAGGCCTTGCCGATTAAACCACCTTCTCAGCGATTGTTCGTTGGAAATCTTCCTCTGGTGATTGATTCGTCCACAGTATCCCAATTGCAAGAAGCTGCTCAGGGTTTCCCTCCTTTTCAACATGAATCTTTGGCACATTCAGCCCACGGTTTGAACATTTTGAAAGCCAGCATATCTCTTTGAATTCTTTCTGATGCAATTCTGTTCTTGTGTGGTTTGCTCTAGTCTTGCTGCTTTGGACGCGGTACGGAGATGTTTAGCTTGAAAACGGGAAAAGGAAGACCTATACATGCATTCTAGTTGCTCATTCGGAGCGAAATCTACCATCCAATCATCCAACAATCATCCAATCATTGCGAGTCTTGATTGTTTGCCTACTGAGCCCAGCTGGAAACCAACTTTCCGATGGTGGTGTGCCTTCCAGGTGAGAAATGCACTTGGTAGTGGTGCAGCTGCCCCAGAGCACACAGAGTGATAGAATCAAGGGGTGTTCTGGTGCATCAAATTACAGGAAGAGTTGGTTCCAAAGACACTCCTTCTCTTGCTGCACTTGTGCACGAGACCTCGTTGATGTCATGAGATGAGGTGCGCTATATACATTGGATTCCAGACAGAACGACCGGCCTATGGTATGGATCTGCATTTGTCCAGACATCCTCTTTAAAGGAAGCAGAGCGTATTGTCAAAGAAGCCGCTGCAAAGAGCTTCAAAATTGGGAAGCGTTTCTTGGATTGGAAAATATGGAAAATGGATCAATTTGATGTTCAGCCGTTCGGCTCTTGAACATGTAAGTTCGTACAGATCATTTGAATCCAATTTCTCCCCATGTTTCTGTGTTTAGATCATTTTAGATCCCTCACAAGGGAGGGACCTCATCCCCGAGGAAAACTTCGCATCAATTTTGCCCCAGTGGCTGAAAACGAAGAATGGCCACCGAGCTCCAAAGAATTAGAGCGTCCGACGGTGCCTGTAAAGCCAGCGAATTGTGAGTAGAGCTAGCCATGAGAGTTTCATTTTTAACATTGCTTCAATGGGAATTTCAGGATCCTAAAATGGAGGTACTGTACCATATAAGGCCATATTTTATGGGGATGTTCCCATTGATTGCTTAGATTATCGACTACTACACGACTGAAAATGTAGAGCCTGACCGGGAATTTGCCCGAGCATGTCCGCCTGGCATGTGAGCCTGCGAAACCGCAGCCATGCAGCGGATGTGTTACGTTGTAGTTCGCATCAGTTGCCTCCGCCAAAGGTGGTTGAGATGTTGCAGTCACTCAGGCTTTTGCCTGTCAGTGGTCACTTAAACAACCGCCGGTCTCACCTTTTGTTTCAGTGATTTCAATGGGGCTCCATTGGGTCCATCTATCCCCATGTTGAATCTTTTGAGGAAAGACTCCGAGAGACGGTGCCACAGCTGCAAGTCTGTCAAGTGTGATGTGCTACGGCTCAAGCCATCATGTCGGCTGATATGACCAACAGCCAAGGGATGCTTCCAGGGATGCAACTGGATCAGCCCATGGTTTGCAACATGTTGAGTCAGATAGCAGCACTTCTATGGCTTGGTGGCTGCGTTGTTTGAGACAGTGGCTGAGTCTAGAACCTTCGATTCTACTGCAACAGACCTCAAACATGACCCACCACAGCGAACGTTAGCGAACTCTTGCATAGAACCCGTATAGCGAATGCCCTAATGCTGACAACGTCTGAAGCTAAGCAGATGGAAAACATGAGGAATTTGAACATGTTCACTCAACGTTCTGCCAAGGAGTTAACGCTTGCAACACCCAAGGGGGCTTATCTTCCAGGACATGCAGCTGGCATCTTGGGGACCTAGGTACTGTGACGAAGAGAAGCATTTGAAGAATTCGATGTATCACAAGTCGTGAGGACATGCGAGGCAAGTCCTGGCCCTTGAGGTCAAGCGCTTGGATTTCGATGACTTTACATGTTTGAACCCGGATTGAGCCTTGTAATTGCATACGTTACGTACTGTTTGTTTCGGGGCAGAGATTCAGAACCCCAACTTTGGTCCCAAAAGTGAGCGATTTGCAGGTGTGTGAAGCCTTGCGAAGCCCCATGCGTTGGCGGTCAAAAAAACAGGTATATAAGTCACTGTATGGCGATGAGAGAGAGAGAGAGAGAGTTACTGTAGATACGCAGCATTTTCCCTTTCGCTCTTCGCGTAGGCCAGGTTTAAACACATGTGCTTCTACAAAATTCTATAATTAGAAATAGTGAAATGCTTGCGTAGGAATGCATGGCAAAATCAAAAGGCACCTTGAAGACGCGCGCAAAAGCACCTTTTCGAATAAAGCTGCCATGTAGGCCGGGCGTAGGCAGAAACATTCCATTTGGTTTCACCCACCTCACCAACACAGCGGTCTAGCACCTTGTACTGTGCCTCAGTTTTGACCTCCCAAAGCACCCTTTGCTGCCAGTTTGGAGCCTTCTCACCACCTGTACCAGATTCCTTTCTCTTTCAGAGTCCCAAGTGTGCTCATCTCATGTCCACTGAAGGTTGTTGATATACTTTCTCATTGCAGCAGGCCAGGGTACATGGTACAGCTAGACAGTCCGAAAGTCTGGAGGCTTTGGACACCTCATGACATGTCTGGGAACAATCCTTCTGCGATAGGAAATGAACTTCCACCGACACCGAGAGAAAGTGTCGTCCTCATACTACTGTTCGAAAACGAGATATGCTTCACTGCTACTTTCGTTTGCATTCAATTGCCTCATCTTTAGGTACCTTTTTGAAGCATAGTCCATGATAGTCCATGGTCCTGGACAGCTGGTTCCACAGCTGGTTCAGCATATCTTGCTTGGAAGCTGAGTTTTCTTCTCCACGTCACCAGCCATTCTGGTGAGAACGCTGGTATCTGACCTGGATGCCACTAGATGGAGCGAGTGTCTCAGACGCTGCGAATCACACCCTTTGAAATTCTCCCTCGATCTAGCACCATTTTTCGAACGCAATCAGGTTCTAGTAAATAGAACCAAACACTGTGGGGGATTGATTGCGAGGGCATTTTGCTCAATCTGGCTTTGAGGCATTTATCAAAGCTTCGCTTTGGAGGTGATGTATGGCATGGAGAGTCATATTGTTGCCTTTGACTTCACCGAAACCCCACCACGTTCTTTTCGGAGGTGACAGGCGAGCGCTTGAAAGGCGGATTGACCGGTGGTTTTGGGCTCAGGTTGCACGCCATCACCTGGGCTTCATTTCATATCCGAGACTTTGCAGCATTTTTCAATGCAGGCCGACCTTTAATTGTGGATGGTGAGGCTGGCCGAACAGCAATAAGAAGTCGGCATCACTGTTTGCATGAGAAGAGAAGTCGCCTGAGATGTTGCTCGCAGAATTTGCCCAGGCATGCGACATATCAAAATCGATGACCGCAGCCCTCGTGAGGGGCTTATAGTCAACATAGTCAACATAGTCAACATAGTCAACAGTCCAGGAAGCCCAGGAAGCCCAGGAAGCTCAGGAAGCCCCGAGCGGACCCCGAGCTTTTTTGCTGGTTTGGTTCTCTGACCAGGACGGCTTCCTGCCGGGGGACGCCACTTCCGCACCAGAGATGTCGTCCGACGACCTGAGCGAAGTCCGTGTCTAAGTGGAGCCATGGGATGCCATGACATGCCATGCCCATCCATGGCCGACAACGATGTGATGACGATGTGATGTGCGAAGTGGCGAAGTGTTTCACCAAGGTTTGGAGATTTCGGGGCCTTCGCCTGACAATTGGAGGTGTAAACTGCAGTGATTTGTGCAGTCTTTGCTGGGAGCCCACAAATGCACAAGCACACAGTCATGTTTTTTAGCAGCTGACAGTTACAAGTCCGAGGTGCACTGTGTGTTTAAGTGCAGCATGTCTTTGCTCAAGTGACAGCAATGGGCTTCTCTTCACAGCAGGTGGTTCATCCTGATGTCCCTGTCCAGCCCCACGGCGCAGTGGGGCCAGTGCCCTTTGGCGGGCCACCCACGGTCGCGTCCAGTGGCCATGTCCCCGGTGGCAAGGTTTTGGAACCCGAAAAGATCAGGTTGCGCTTCTTCTGCGATTCAACTGGTATGAACTGCGAGTCATCGGATAAATGGGGAGGTCCATCTCGACAAAGGATCGAGGGGGGCACGCAGCCAGTGCTGTCCGGCATGCAGCCAGACTTTCATTGCTTGGCGCTGCAGTTTCTTCACAGAGATGCCAACTCTTTGGTCTTCAAGAAAAGTCCTTCCCGAAGGATGCTCAACCTCTTCATTTGAAAAAGGAGTGAGCTGTGCTTGGCATGGTTGCATTGAACTGGCCAAGGTTCTGTTGAGTTTAGGGTGAAAGACTGGATGAATTGGTATCAGTTCCTAGCAGGACCAACACAGTGCTTTTCCAGGTGCAAACCACACACTAAAACCTTTGTGGCATTTTGGTGGTGGCAATGGTGGCAATGGTGGCAATGGTGATGATGACGATGGCGATGATTATGATTATGATGATGATGATGATGATGATGAGGATGAGGAGGAGGAGGAGGAGGAGGAGAACGACGACGACGACGATGATGCCGATGACGATTACGATGACGATGACGGTATACTCTATTTGCATATGTTTCAATCTCTTGCACCAAACTTGAGACAGTTTGACATTGACAAGTTGAATGCTTTGACCCAACGCTGCGATTCTATGCCATACTTCGAAGAACATCATGACACCGAGCAGCTTAGATCACAGTCCGATGCTATTCTCCGATTGCAAAATCTATAGTTGCCATTTTTTCAGTGTTTTGGCTGAGTCGCCCGGCTCTTGGCATCTCTTGGCCCAACAGGTGCCTGTTCCGGCCGCAATTCATCACTGCATGGTCGAGTGGATCAACGGATGAACGGATGACTGCATGGAATGAATCCATGACTATTAATGCATGAATGAAATGAGAGAGAGGGAGAGAGAGAGAGAGAGACACTGAATGAAGGAACGAACGAGCGAATGAAATGACTGGATAATGAATGAGCCACTTCGTCTTCTAGCTACTGGCCGGAAAGCGGAAGTTTTCTGACTACGCTTCCTTTGCTGATGGTGTTTGAAAACGCATAGGGTTGAGAGGTGTTAGGCAACATTTTCATACATTTTCCCCAGTAGTGATTGCCGCATAGCCTTCCATGGGGCCACCAAGGGCAAGCAGATCCACGGACAGTGCAGGTTATGCCGGGAAATCTTCCAGCGATCTTCCTTTGGACCAAGGCGGTGTGTGGCATACAGGGTCGGTGCAAGTGGCGTCATCGGATGAAAGGTATGCCCTCTTCACTCCGCCTGAAATTTTCGGAAAGTCCGGGGCAAGTTTGCGACGCGTTGATGCTGAGGCATCTGACATGTCATTCGATGATGCTTATGAAGCTCTTGTGGAAACACAAGACCAGTGGTATTTGGACAGAAGGGACGTGAATCAGCCGCACAGTTCAGACTGGCCATCTTTCAGCCCCGACTTCTGGTGTTCCACTGATTGTGGAAAGGTCTGTTTTCATCCCGTGTCTGACAGCTCCACATCATCCAAGGCATCCAGCCTGGGGATGGGTCAGTATCATAAAGCTGTGGGGGAAGAATGGCAATGCTACGGCGCAAAGACTTCGCCGGGCAATGTGGGTGGATTTCACAGCTGTTGTGTTGACACTGGGCAGCCTGGGTCAGATTGGACTTTGGTGGCGCGGCTAGCGGACTTTGGATCGGCTTTGGATAGGTCTGCCGGTATAAGAGTTGAATTTGCTGCACTGGTGCGAAATGACTCGGAAAGTCTGGTTGCATCCCTGGGTACGCATGATGAATGCCGAGCTCTTTTCCGAGTGGCTGATGTGACTCTTCCTACAGGCAAAGTGTTGCTTACTGATCCTGCAGACGTTCACTACTTTGTCCAAAGTTCGGCGACAAAGATCGCTTCCAGTGACGCAGAATTATCATCCAATGACTGCGTTGATGATGGACCTTGTGTGCCAAGTGGACTTGGAGCTGGACTTTATCCAGTCATCCTGTCTCAGGACATGTCACAGAAAATCTGCCGGATCTCTTTGGTCTTCCACCCGCTGCGAGCCTCTAAGATCTCCAAGACATTCCCACCAGCCGATCCGCAGCAAACTCCACAGCCAGCACAGGCGGTTGGACGCGCGCAAAAACCACCGCTCCCACCCAGTCGAAGTCGATCAAAGGATACGACCCTACTGGTGTAACCAGAAGGAAAAAGATGCTTCTCTCGTCATTCGTGTCAGGAGAGTTTGAACCCAGTTGGCACAATTTCCACATCATAGAAGAAAACGTAAAGCACGCAGGAATTTCCCACATAGTTTTTTTGCCTCTTCCAAGTTACCGCACAAGTGTTGGGTTGGTCAATTTGTGTTGGTGCAATGGGAGGTGTGTTCAGTGCCTGTTGGTGCCGGCCAGAAGGCAGGGTTCAACGGATGCCTGTGAAGCTAGGTGCCAAACTTGTCCTTGAAATGCTCACTTGACTCACTTGGGCCAAGGTCAGCAGAGCTGGCCGGGAGAGACTCCAGCTGTCAATGGCAGAGTGTGTGAGATGGCAACAGGTGGGAGATTCCGACGCATCTGCTTGGGAAGATTTGGGAAGGATAAAGCCGACAAAGCTCATTTTTTGGACGTGGTGCCTTTTCAGGTGGACCTTTGCATGTGGCAAGGGTCTCAGTGTGTGGCTGCAACTCACTGCACAAGCTAGCCTGGTGCATATTAAAAGATGGACAGAACCTAGGTGGGACCTGTTGAGCTGCTGGGAGCGGATGGTCTTCCAGAACAGGACAGGTGGGAGGTTAATGCAAGTCTTGAAAATGGACAGCTGGAGAGGGAGTGAATGAAGTCCCAAAAATCTGGGATTTGTGCTATGTCAGATGTCAGGGAAACTAATCATTGTCACAGGATTTTGGGGTTGAGGAGCTGTTCTGGTGGGAATTTCTTAGATGTCTCTGCAGGGGTGTCGGCCTGCAGGATCCTCAAAGTAGCCGTGCTCCGTATGTGCAGCGCTCAGCCATTGTCGGAGAAAAGCCTGGGAAATTGCCAGCTACCCTCCGGTAATTTAACATAACTATGGAAATTATTAATTTTTAAGAGTTATGAAATCAAGGTTTTCTATCTGAGCATCACGGGGGGGTACGGTGTACATAACTAGGGGGGTTAGGTACGGTACGGTACGTGGGTACGTGCTTTTGGGCATGGGTACGGTATGTAGGTACGTGCTTTTGGGTACGGTACGGTATGGGTACGGTACGTGGGTACGGTACATGGGTACGGTTCGTGGGTACGGCGTACTGGTACAGTGTACCCACCGTACCTGTTTTCAGGAAATGTGGTGCTATTTCCAAAATGTGGCGCTAATAGCAGCACATTTTGGAAATAGCACCACATTTCCTGAAAACAGGTACGGTGGGTACACTGTACCAGTACGCCGTACCTACGGACCGTACCCACGTACCGTACCCGTACCGTACCCGCACCGTACCCGCATCGTACCCATACCCAGTGTACGTACCCACGGTACGCACCCACCGTACGTCCCCGTACCGATGCCCAAGTCGTACCCAGTTTTAGGGTCCCCGGGCACCCGATAGAGCATAACTCTTAAGAATTAATAATATGGAAAATCACCATTTTTAATGGGAAAATCCACTATAAATGGCCATTTTCAATAGCTATGTTAGTTTACCAGAGGGTAAGCCCCATTTCATGGGGTTCCTGGGTTGGTACCGGCAAGGTGCTTGATCGCTTCTTGTTGGATGTTCGGGGCTACTCTTTGGAGGCGATGATCCAACGCTGTTTGGGTCGTGTTTTTTTTCTCCACCTTGGTGCCATAGTTTTGGAAGCGAACGTGTTTGTATGGGCAATTCAGAATCGTGCAGGAGGACTTTGACCGAATCCGAGTGGTTGACGAAGATGTTACGCCTCAACCTGAGTTTGGTGAGTGAACAAGGTGGCATGTCGACGTCAGATGCCGTTATGCTGACCCGCCAAATCCTGCCATTTGAATGGTTGGCACTCTTGGAGAAATCCTCCCTGCAAAGACCAAGGCAAGATGCTAAAGAGATGTTGGGGATTGTGATCTGAAATGAGAAAGTATGGGGCATTGGCTCAAACTGTGTCAAGATGCTATCCTCCCAGCCGTTTCCGACATCTTCCAAACATATGCGGGTGAGGATTTTGTACTTACTGTATCTGAGACATTCTGAGACTCTGTCAATCTGTATGTTTTTTTTTCTATTTGAGAGTTGTTGGTTCATTGCGAGGTGCGGTGGCCCTGGATCCTCTGTCTCCAGTCAGGTACGGGCTCCATGCATACGTGGATGTTCTGTTTGGGTGACTTCTACTGGTTTCAGGCCTTCCTTGGTCCTGGTGTTGGAACTGTTGCAGCATCTGCTTGGCTCTCTGCTTTGCGGATTGGCATCTTCAAGTCGGGTCCAAATTGGGGACCTTTAAAAAAATCAAACATAGAATTCCCACCCCGCACACCTATACACACACAGAAATTTATGTTTTTGAAGTTTTTCTTTTTTAAAAAAATTGACTCATTGACCCCGGATTCCTGTTCGGCTGAGGTGAAACCTGGGATTCAATTCGTTGCCTCACTGGGGCAACCCAGTACCGCAACGCCGCCCAGTTTGAGAAGACCCCTAGCTGGGTCACTGAGTCACGTTTAGAATCTTTAGATGCCAGGTTGGTACAATGGAAATTGAAGATGCACGTGGATACCATGCAGAACTGCGGGTACCTATCTTAATCCTCAAGGTCTTGTACAAGTCGGAGATGCCAATCTCTTCCCACATCTGTGATATAGTTTCTTGCTACTCCATTCCTTCTGCATTTTTCGCTGGAAGTGCTTCATACTTGACAAAAGTCGAAAAACAATCAGAAATTGTGCTTATACAGGTACTGTGTGTATATATATATATTATATGCAGTATGCATATTCTTTTGGTTTCGTGTGCAGCCCCTAAAAGATCAAATTGAATCAAAGGCAGAAGGTGGACTCAGGATGCCACCTCGGCTGAGGCACCGCTTGGGCCTGGTGTTGACCCCAACGGTGAAAATGCTTCGTTGGTGTGGCGTTGTCCCTAGCCCTGTCTGAAATGACCCAGATGACCATCAGATGACCCTCGCAGCATTCGCAGTGTGCTAGGTCTGATCTGGCAACAACAACAGCAGGAGTCTACCGAGCTTGAAGCTGAGAGCGGCTCGCACGGTTCACCTATTCCACGTGGTGCTTTTATTCCAGCATTGCAGAATGAATGAACATGATCATTATCCGTTAAGCATCCATGATGTAACTATCCATTGATTGTCCGTTCATTGCCCACGTGGAAACCACAAATTGGCCCCAGCACCCGACCAATCCGACCGCTGAGGTTTGTTGGTGCTCCGCGTTGAGGCAGGTTCTCAGCCTTGGCATGTTACAGGCATTTGCATACCGTGGCATGTTCCAGGCCAACAGATGCTGGAGAAAACCCCGTCGCGACCTTGAAATGTGTGGCAAATGCCCGGTGAAACAAGAGGAAATAAATATGATAGAGTCAAACAAACGGTCTGTTTTCCAACTAACTGGAGTGGTCACCCTCTCACTAATAGGAATAAATATGCCCGGATATGCCCATGATAAGCCTCCCAAAAAAGCAACATGTTGGGATGACCAGGCCCCATAAGCCCCAAGCATGTTTTGACCATAGGACATCGGCCGCCACGACACTAAGGTGGACATGACGGATTTGTTCCCAACTCCGCCAGATGAGGCGCTGCAAAAACGGGCGATGCATTCCTTGCTCTCCTTTTGTGTCAAGTGATTTCCATTCATTTCCAGATCCAGCACTGCTACAGTAGATGGTTTTGGGCCATTTTGGGCCACTAGGACTAGGATGCCCAGTGGTCAAATTGGTGAGACTCTTGACTCTTGACATTCACCCCTGGGAGAAGATTCGAAGCTCCCGCCCATGTCAGGTAGATATCAATCTCACGTTGATGGCTTAGTTTGACACGAGACATGGAAGACCCTTCCAGAAAACGACAAACAGCTGACCCCAAGCACTCACTATCCTGCTGCAGTGTTACCAAGTAACATGACCTTGTTGATCTGCGAGGAATTTCACCAATGACTCCAACTTCAGCTGGGACTACACTGTTGGCTTAGAGGAGACTGCGAATAATTAACAGATCGCAGACGAAGGTTGCCTTGCATTTGGATTCATACTCCAATTCTATCACATCACATCATCGTTTTACCCACGTAGAGCTTTTAAATAAATAGATAAATAAAATAAATAAAATTGCGATAGCTCCACCACTTTTGAAAAATCTCCGGATTGCTGAAGGGAGCAATCAAGTCTTGAAGGGGTTGCAGATTAGCATGGCCCCTGCGCAAAGATCCAAACAAATTGCACCAATCTGGTGCTGTATGGCTCAAGAAAAGGGGTGCAGTGCCTCACAACTGCAGCGTGGGTTATGAGCCCAAGGAGGTTCACGGTGTCGTCCTAAGGTGGGGCGCAACATGGAGCGGAGGCGAGAAAGCTCGCAAGCTCGTCGGGCTGCTGGTGGTGGTGCCGTGCAGCTGTCGGCAGAAGAACTGCTGGCGCAAATGGGCGCTGGTGGACCTGCGGGCGGCGGTGATGCTGGTAGTGGTGGGCAAGAGCTGGCTGAGGGGTTCCATGATGCCCTGTCGAGGGATGGCTCAGTGCAACCTCGCGCAACTGGTCCTGCGCAAGTGGAAGGGGGGGTTGTAGGTGTCCGAAGTGTTAGGATCCCGAAAAATGCGGGAACTGACGATGGGTCTGGTGCTCGTGGCATAGCAGGGGTTCCTAGAGCATTAGGGCCAGCCTCCTCAGGCGAATACGGTCAGGGCCAAAGCTCCTTGGATGGAGCCACTGGGGTTCCTCAGAGTTCCTTGGGTGGTGCCGCTATGGCACCTCAATGTGCCTTGGATGGTGCCGCTATGGCGCCTCAATGTGCCTTGGGTGGTGCCGCTATGGCACCTCAATGTGCCTTGGGTGGTGCCGCTATGGCGTCTCAGTGTGCCTTGGGTGGTGCCGCTATGGCGCCTCAATGTGCCTTGGATGGTGCCGCTATGGCGCCTCAATGTGCCTTGGGTGGTGCCGCTATGGCGTCTCAGTGTGCCTTGGGTGGTGCCGCTATGGCGCCTCAATGTGCCTTGGATGGTGCCGCTATGGCGCCTCAATGTGCCTTGGGTGGTGCCGCTATGGCGTCTCAATGTGCCTTGGGTGGTGCCGCTATGGCGTCTCAGTGTGCCTTGGGTGGTGCCGCTATGGCGTCTCAATGTGCCTTGGGTGGTGCCGCTATGGCGCCTCAGTGTGCCTTGGGTGGTGCCGCTATGGAGTCTCAATGTGCCTTGGGTGGTGTCGCTATGGCGCCTCAGTGTCGCTTGGATGGTGCAACCGGCACACCTCAACGTGCCTTGGTTGGGGCCATTAGGGCACCACAGAGCTCCTTGGGTGGCGGTGCGTCTGAAGCACCTCGTCCCTTGGTTGGGGCCGCTGATGCACCTCAAGGTGCCTTGTGTGGTGTTGGCAATTCACCTGATGTTGTAAGGGGTGGTCCGGTAGGAACTGCCGGGTCCTCACCTAGTGTTGGCCTCTTGGAAAGACCAGCCGGGGTCTTGGTTGAAAAGATCTGGGAACGGATCACAGGCGCCTTGGATGATGCGAATGATGCATCAAGGTTCGGAGCGCAATCTTCGGGTGGCACCGTGGGGGCATCTGGTCAGGGTCCCGTGGGAATAGGGATGATCGGTGACTTGGTCGGTACCTTTGATCCTGCTGGGATGCTTGGTTCGGGGGTTGAGTCGTTCGATATTTCCACGCCACGTGGAACAGCCGGTGCCTTGGGTGTGGAACAGCCACCGGGACTTGTTGTTGAGGGTAGGGTTATGGAAGAGCCCCAAATAGTACCCTTTTGGTCTCCCGAAAGAAAGGCTTATGAAAGGATGGGTTGTGAGTGGGAGAAAAATCAAAGGATGTCAGAGGGTGGACATGGTTCGGTCTCATACCAAACCGGCTCCGTGCCAGCGCTGTCAGCGGGTTTGGGAGTAGGTCAAGGGTTTGGAGTCCAATCACAAAATGAATCCCCCCAAGAGATGTCTGGATGGATCCGGTTGAGCTGTTTCGGATTCGATGTATGAGGGATGCTGAAGAAAGGTTTAGGCGAGGTCTTCAACAGATTGCGTGTCCTGAACAAAACTCAGCGGGAACCTCGGGCGGGTCGTTTGCTACCGCTGTTGAAGAAACTGAAGGTTTTGTACCTCCACCTCCTCCGGGGCCGCCACCGGCCTCGCCACCTAGGGTTGGAAATGGTGGTATGGGTTCGGGAATGGAAGTTACTGGTGGTTTGGGTCATGGGTCCATGGGTCTGTTGATGCCATGTGGTGGCAACATGTTTGGCGCTGTGCCGCCGCCGCCTCCGCCCTTGCCGCCAGTGCCACCCATGCCGAGAGAGGGTGGAAATGCTGGAGGATTTGGCTTTGGGATTGGTGAAAACCCCAATGAAACTCTTCGTACGTTTGAGTTGCCTAAGCTGGATTCTAATGCAACACCACTGACGTTTGGGGATTGGTGGAGTCTCTTGGATTCACAAATGGGAGATTTGTCGTATTCCTCAGGGATTTGGTGGGGATTGGTGAAAGGGGCAGCGGAACGGTGTTACCGTGAGTGGTTGGTCTCTGATCCTGTGACTCGGCTGAGACTGCGGCCGACAGTGGATGCTGCCACGGCACGATGGCCGCGCACGGAACGAAGAGCCTTGGGTATGCTTCTCCAGGCAATTCCGGAGAATCTAAGGTCCGATCTCGTTGCCAGTCGGAGGTTGACAGTGGATCAAATTCTTTTCAAGCTCCTTGTCACATACCGACCGGGTGGTGCCTCTGAAAGGTCAAAGGTGCTGACTAGCATCACTGAGGGCCGGTGTGGGGACTCTCCGGGGGAAGTGTTGGAATGGGTGAGGAATTGGAGGAGAAACATCACACGTGCCAATGAGTTGGGTATAACCATTCCGGATGCCATGGTGTTAATGGGTGCCCTTCAACGATCACATGACATGTTGAGCATGAAATCACCTCAAGTTGCCTACCGTCTCAACACGATCCGTCAACAACTTGGCGTCGACCGTCAGCCGGTGTTTGGAGCCGTCTGGAGCTTTTCGGAACATCTTCAGGCGGAAGCCGAGGAACTGATGATCAGTGGTTCGGTGGTGGTTGGTGATGGTGGTCCCCAAAAAGGGTCGAATCCCAAACCGGTTGTGAAATCCCTCCAAAATGTGGGTTCTACTGCCCCCCAAAAAGGTCAAGATGGGTCTAGGGATCCGCCGAAATCAAGTGCCTTGGCTTCAAATGTGAATGCAGGGTCAGTGACGTCAAAACATGCGTGTCGGTTTTGGGGTAAGGATGAAGGGTGTAAACATGCTGACAAGTGTCGGTTCGTACATGCCATGCTCAACCCAAAAGATGGACGATGTTTTTTGTGTTCAGCCTTGGGTCACTCAAAAAAGGATTGCCCAAATGCAGGAGGTGGGAAAAACGCGAAGGTCGCAAAAACGAAGAGTAAGGATTCCCCTCCCAAAAATAAGGGTGATGAAGGGAAGAAAGAAGTGAGGGTTCAAGATGAAGTTTCGAAATCATCGATCCCGGCTCCGGCTGGCGGACTTAGTGATTGTTGTGAGGACGTTGGATCGAAGAAAGGGTTGGACATGATAGACTCAGTTCACACCCTCATGAAGTCATTGACTCCCCACGTCAAGATGATTAACATGAAAAAGTCGAATGTGAACGAGCTCAAAACAGGTCTTCTGGATGGAGGTGCAACCAACGCCTTGCGTGTTGGGACTGCTCAGGAGCTGGCCGATGCGGTGCCAGTTCAGGTAGAGTTGGCGGCTGGGACCGCTCAGCTCTTCCAGGACCCCAACACTGGAACTCTCTTGACTAAGGAGGCTGTTGAACCGATTGTACCGTTGAGGGGGCTCATCAACTTAGGGTACCGAATTCAATGGGATACCAATGGTTGTGTCATCGAACACGGAAAACATGGCCGAATCAAGTGCTGGTTGCGAAATGGATGCCCTGTAGTTCTTGAAAACCATGCATTGCTGTTGATCGACGAGATCGAGGGGTATGAACGCTTTCAGCGCCTTGGTCCAAAAATTGCCATGGGTCAGGTAACGGAAGAGGTCATGGAGTGGTGGTCCCAACGGTTCCCTTTGGTACCCGAGTCGGTGGTCCAATACATGGTAGGGCAGGGGGAGAGTTGGGACTCGTCTCAACTGCCTTGGAACAGGAAAATGCGGAAGCGGTTTCAGGGAGCTAAGGGTCTGGTGATCCACCTGTTTGCTGGTGGTGGGAACAGTTGTAAGGATTGGGAAAAGGGTTGGCCGTCTGGATACGAAATGGTTGCTATTGACATTCAAGCCAATCCCCAAATGGACATCCATAACCGACATGTATGGGCGTACCTCACTTGGTTGGTTCAAAATGTCCCGGTTGTTGGTATCGTGGGTGGTCCCCCCTGTCGCACTGTATCTCGTCTTAGAAATATCCAGCCGGGTCCGGCGCCTCTCAGGGGCCGGTGGGAGAATCGGTTTGGGTTGCCTTCCATGTCTCAGACCAGCAAACTGAAAACAGATAGTGACTCCGCGTTATTCTTGAAGCAGTTGGGGTTGTATAGCCTTGCTAAGGAAAACCAGCACGAACATGCTCCTGATGTAGGGTTTCTGTTGGAGTCGCCTGAGGACCCTGCTGGATATGCCGGGGAAAAGCAAGCACCGAGTTTTTGGGCGTGGCCGGAATGGGAATATGTAACTCGGTTGGACCCCTCAATCCGTAGGATCTCCTTTGACCAAAAATGTTTTGGGCATACTCAAGTCAAACCAACCACAGTGGCTACGAATCTCCAAGGGTTTGGCGAGCTTGATGGTTGTCGGGCTGCAACTCGGGGGGAGCCACTCGCGAGTGACTTGGTGGAAAGGTTTCAGCAGACCAGCAGTTGGTCATGCTGGGCTCCTGGTCTGAAAAAGGTGGTGCGGGTAGCTTTGAGTTCACTGTGTCGGGCCCATGCAAATATGAACCCCGAATTAAAAAAGGCTTTGAACTATGAAGAAGGGAAAACCCATATCCGACAGGGTCGCCAACCTTACCGGAGGGACTGCCGGGCTTGCATCTTGGGGATGGCGGCTGGTGCTCCTCACCGACGTCGGAAATTTGCAGGCTCCTCGGCATGGTCTATGGGTGTGGATGTGGTCCCAATGATCAAAACTAGGGTGGTCAAGTGGTTAAAAATGTCATGATTGCCACGGCGTTGGTTCCGGTGTTTGATGATGAATATCCCAAATCCCCAAAAGACGAATCCAATGGGCCCCATGATGATGAAAACCCTAGTGTAGGTCCGGGGGAGTCATGGGGTGATGGCCTGGAAGAAGATGAGTACGCACTGTGGCCTGAAGAAAACGCGGAAGAACCTCCCTCCGCGGGAGCACCGAAGGTGTGTGAAGAAAGACCCTCAGGGGAATCAAGCCTTTCTGTTGAGGAAGGGAAGGTCCATGGTGAAAAAGAGAGGGTTGACCCGCTCAAAGCACATGTGGATGAGTTGAGTCAGCCTCTCCGAGTGCGGCATGTGACCCTGGCCACAACGCTGACCAGCCGTCGGGCAGGGGAAGTGCAACATGGCCTGAACCTTCTTTACACCAAATTCAAATATATGGGAATTGAGGTTCAACGGATTCATTCGGATCGGGCTAAGGAATTCTTATCCGCACCAGTCCGTGCCTGGTGTGCCCGGACAGGTGTGGTCCAGTCAATGTCCCCGGGCGATGACCCCCAGGCCAACGGACATGTCGAATCAGAGGTGGGACAGGTTAAGAGACGGACCAGACTGTACTTGCACGAAGCCGGTCTGGACCCGAAAAGTTGGCCTGGAGCACTTAGGTATGCTGTTGAGGAGAGGTGTAGGAACCAGTTGGCCCTTCTGGGAGTGCCTGCACTTCCCATGCTGCCTTTCAATGCCTCAGTTGCCGTGAAACGGAAGCGCTGGCATGACCGAGGTCACCTAGCGCCACCTTTTGTTGAAGGTCACCTGGTTTGTCCGAGTCCTCTCATGCACAATGGTTGGGTGGTTCTTACGAAGGATCTCCAGGCGGTTCATGTTAGGGAAGCGCTGGTTCCGGCTCCCTTGGGTGACGAAGCGGCTTTGGCTTTGCATGAGCATGCCATGCCCCCGATTCCCGTGGAGGAAGAGGAAAGACCCCCATGGCGGCTAGTGGGGAAACAACCAAGACCAGGTCCTGAGGCCCGTGAAGGTTCTAAGATACCCTTGCCCCATGGTCGGTATGATTCCCATGGTTTGTTGGAGGATGAACCCCAAGATGATTATGAACCCAGTATTGCTCCTACTGACATCAACGGCGCCTTGGATGACGGGGTTGATCCGTCCGGTCTCTTGGATGACGGAGTTGAACTGTCCGGTCTCTTGGAAGACGGGGTTGATCCGTCCGGTCCCTTGGAAGGCGGGGATGATCCGTCTGGTGCCTTGGATGCTGGGAATGATCCAGCAGGTCGTGAAATTGGGGGGAGCGATGCTGGGAATGTGGATGGCCAGCGGAAGCCGCTGGGGGGGAGCCCCCTAGGGTTTTTAAAGCTGCTGAAAGGAAATCTAGGGCCGTCTGCGAAAAGTTCATTGTCCAAAGGGTTTCATGCAGGAGGTTGGAGCAGGTCTTTGTGGAACAACATGCGTCCATTCAAGCAAAAATCCAGGACCTTTTAGGTGAAGTGCCTATGACTGGTGAACATGGTAGGGAGGTTGGTACCTCGGTCCAGTGGCTGGTATCGGAACGGGATGGGCTGGAACGGGATCTCAAAGTGTTGGATGAATGGGATCACAGGGAAATCATGAAACTATGTGGATTGAATGCGGGAGGTGAACAGGTGCATCTGGGTGAAGATGGAGAGGTTTTGCAAACAACCACCATCTCTTTGGAAGACGTCCGAAGGGATATTGCCTCTTGGGTACCCGCCATGAAAAGTGAGTATGGTTCCCTGGTTCACGAAACTAAGGCCATAATTCCCGTGGACGAAAAAGACCTGGACCCCTCTAAGGTGGAATTTGTTCCGGGGAAACTGGTTTGTACAATCAAGGCGGGCCCAAACGGGGGAAAACGGAAGTGTAGAAGTGTAGTATGTGGAAATCTCCTCAACGAATCTCAGGACCCGTCACCTCAGGGCAGCTATGCGTCGGGAGCAGATGGCACTCTGATTCGCACGGCTATCAGGTATGGGGTTCAGAAAAACTGGGGTATGTCCACAACGGACATCAGAACTGCATTCCTTCTTGCTCCTCGTCCGCCGCCAGTGGAAGGGTCCCGTGAAGTAATAGTTTTGCCACCTAGAATTTTGGTGGCAGCCGAGGTGTGCCAACCAAGTGAACGGTGGAGGGTTGATAAGGCCTTGTACGGTTTTCAGTCATCCCCCAATCTGTGGGCTGGGCATCGGGACAAGACACTCCGAACCTTTCAGTGGCATGATCAAGTAACCAATGAGCTTCTTGGATTGGTACAAACTGCCGAGGGGAATTTGTGGAGAATCGGGGTAGTTGGTTCGGATGGGACAGTTCAAGGGTGTAAGGGACATCTCATAGTTTATGTTGATGATTTGATGGTGATCGGTCCCGAAACTGTTCGTCAGGGTTTTTTTGGGTAGGGTAGAACAAGAATGGAAGATATCCATGCCTGAACATGTCAATGCTGAATCCTGGGTCAGGTTTTGTGGATTTGAACTGAAATGGCAGGCGGATGGTAGGCTGGCCATTGCACAACCTTCCTACACTAAGGAACTCCTTGAAAGGCATCAGGTGACTAAAACACGTTCGTCCCCAATGCCGAAAATCGAACCTCCTGATACCACTGAGGATTTGTCCAAGGAGTCGATCCGTCGAGCTCAGGCGTTGACTGGTGAACTCCTTTGGCTCTCGATCAGAACCCGACCAGACATTGCCTTCAGTGTAGGCCAGATGGGCCGCCAAGCAACTCGCAATCCGACTTGGGCCTGTGAACTTGGCTATCATGTCCTGGAGTTTTTGGCTGGTCACCAAGTGTAGGATTAGTGTATGGTTCGTGCCTCGGTGATCACGGCACTGAAGAACAGCTAGGTATTCCCCGGCATGAAACCTTGATTGAAGCTTTTTCAGATGTCAGTTTTGCTCCCCAAGGTGGGAGGTCCCTCCAAGGCGTATTAGCATGTGTGGCTGGTGCACCTGTACAGTGGGAATCAAATAGGCAACCGTTCCCAACACTCTCCACGGCTGAAAGTGAGTTGATGGGGTACTGTGAAGCAATGACTATGCTCCAGTCAATTGAGGCTTTGATGGTAGCTATTGTGGGGGTTGATGATGGTTCAGGGTTTGAGAAGGTGATACTGGGGGATAATCAAAGCGCCATTCAAATTGTCCAGAAGCCGGACGGACCATGGCGTACAAGACACCTTCGCCTCCGGGCGACGTGCTTGAAACACAAGCTGTCAAGTGTTGAGGGGAGTTGGAAACTTAGGTATGTAAAGGGAACCGAACTGGTTGCTGACCTTCTCACAAAACCAATCACCCAGGTCAGCACCTGGAGAAAGTTTTGGGATTTTTTGGGCATGAACGGTCCATGTCCGCCGACTGAGGATCCGTCGACTGAGGTACGATCTCTCGCCCTTGCTAAGGTGACAGCGATGGAAAAGACCACTGCAGCTTGCGCTCTGTTGGCATTGGCGGTGGAAATGAAGCTAACGCATGCGGATGACGATGCGTGGGCTCCCACCACAACTGCCGTGCTCGCTGCTGCCGTGATGGCATTCTTCTACTGGCTGAGGGAGCTTATCCGATGTTTTGAGTTGGTCATTGCCGATCCATGTATAGGTTGTGGCTCACTTGGATCCGAAGAAGGTAGGGGTCTACGGGACGTTTTTATTCCCCAGGTGAGAAGCCCAGTTAGCAGTTTTGCAGAATCTGTACAGTGGTTGAAAGACTATGTACAGTGGAAAGATGCCAGGGCGGCCCGAAGGGCTGCGACGAATGAAAGTTCGACGGTTCACCAAGTTACAACGTTGGACTTGCCTGAGAATAGTGGAGGGCTTGGGGAAGAACAGTCAAGAAACAAACAAGAAAGACAGGAGGCCAGGGGAAATGAACCGGCCCACAAAATCAAAAGGTTGGAAGAAAAAATGACAAGCTCCAACCTAGGTCCGAAGGCAGAAGGTCGGTTCCGAGAGGGTTCAGGTTCCAATAGGGTTGGTTGTGGCTCGGCTGGTTGTGGCTTGGCTTGCTGTGGCTCTGCTGGGCTGATTCCTGCTGACCTTGTACTTGAAAACGCGTGGCACGGCCAGGCGAAAAGTAGTCAAGAACAAAAAAAGGGGAAGGGGCAACCCCCTGGTGGGAAATTGAAATTTCCCGTGACCTTAGCCCCACGGGCTCCCAGGGTTCACAGTATTACCCTCGCGTGAAAGCCATGGCGATGTCAAAGGCGAAAGCGGCTGCAAGCAGTGCGGCCGGCACTGGCAGTGCTGGTAGTGGCTATGGTGTTGGTGGTTTTGGTGGGGTCAACATCAATGTGAATGTGCACACCACGACCGAGGACGCTGCGGGGTCTATGGGGACCGTTGGTGCTGTGAGAAAGCCAAGCGTTGGTGCTGTGGGAAAGCCAAGCGTTGGTGCTGGGACAGACCCATCAGATGGCATCAATCTTCCAACTGCGAGCGGTGTGATTGGACCGGGGCCTTGGCACATGGCTGCCTTTAGCCAGCCTCCGACGGTCACGAAAGACAAATGGTCGGAGGTGTCCATGGAGGGCTTGAATGGTGGGAAATTCTTGGTGCGGACGCACGGTGCAGCCCGATACCAGGGGTTTCACCCATTGCACAAGGGTTGTCCCTCTGGTGGGAACAAATTGGAGCCAGCCCGGGTGCAAATCCGTTTTCCTGTTCACCAAGAAGAAAGGAGTGAGCCAATCGTCATCGTCAACGACTGGCGAGATGCACCGACTCGCGAAAGAGAATACCAGTGGAGAGGCTATACATTTTTCAAATTGAAAAATGAAGAGCGCACCTTGCCCAGTGATTTGCCACCGGAGTTCCCAAGCTCCACCTACGTCGCGGCCGGTGATGGTGTGACCTACACCGGCGGAGATGGGGCTCGAGGTCCGCGAGCCGGTCCGGTGATTGAGCCACCAATGCCTGCCGGAGGATCCAGGGCATCGAGACCACTTACCAGGGAGGACTGCTGGGAACATATCTATGATGGACCTGTGGAAGAAGTGTGAGGCTGGGGTTTCTTTTGAACTTTGATAGCTGTGCCCCCGGCATGCTTTTGTTTGGCTGAAAGCCAAAGGGGGAGTGCGATAGCTCCACCACTTTTGAAAAATCTCCGGATTGCTGAAGGGAGCAATCAAGTCTTGAAGGGGTTGCAGATTAGCATGGCCCCTGCGCAAAGATCCAAACAAATTGCACCAATCTGGTGCTGTATGGCTCAAGAAAAGGGGTGCAGTGCCTCACAACTGCAGCGTGAAAATAAATAAATATATAAATACATAAATAAATAAATAGATAAATAAATAAATATATATATATAAATGTATATTATGTTATTCTTAATATTAATTATCATTACATTAGTATTATTACTGGACTACTATTGTAATTATTATAATTATATATCACATTTGTTTCACGTATATGCGCTGTTTGAACTCCACATCCTGAGGACTATGGAGCCGCCTTCCGCAAGCTGCAGGTGACAAGCTCAGGAATACTGCAGGAAACGACTCAAACTGAGCCAGTCTGGAGCTATTGACAATGGCCATTTACAGTTGATTTACCCCTTAAAAATTGTGATTTTCGATAGTTATGTTAGTTTACCAGAGGGTGTGGACCGTATGGAGTGAAGCTCCAGTGGCTGTTCAAGAGTTGATTCAGCCCAATGCTGCTGCATTCGGATCAAAGTGAAGTGCCTGCTCCGAGTTTCAGATGGAATCTGGGAAATCAAGGGCCTCAACGCCGATGCGTGGATCGTCACTTTCACAATGACTGGATGTGAGGAATGAAGATGAATGAAGCATGTTTTGGGCACTGAAGGTAGCACGCAGACTGCAAACAGATTTGCGGACGTCTTGCCTACTGAAGCGGCCGATTCTGACTTACACTCTGAAGCAAATACACTTGCGCACAGTTCGTGTGCATCCAAAGACTCCACAGACTACAAATCCAGCTGGCAACGATGGCAGAGTATGCCTGGATTTCTTGAGCAACGGCGCCAACAACTGTTGCAGAAGGGTCATTTAGAAAAGCCATCTTCAGAGCAGAACCCTACCCAAGAGGCTCTTGACTTTTTCGAATCCTTGCTGGCAGGAACTGAACAAACAGAGGAGGAAGATGCTAAAAGCACATCCGTTTCCAACACAACCAATGGAGCTGCTCAACTTCAGGATGCTGCTCGTCGCTTGCAAGAGCAAGCAGAAGCCTTGAGATCGCTGAGACAGGGCTTTGTGAAGTCGGACGGCGTTGCGTCTACTGCCAAGCCAAAGACTCAGAAAGAGAAGGCTTCGGATGCTGCGGGTGCTGAAGGTGACGCAGTGAGCACTACAGCAAGTCCCAAAGGTCCCGTGAAAAGCTTCGAAGAAAGCTTCGAAGAACGAGAAGCTTCTGCTGAAGCTCGTCGAAAGGAACACCAGCGACGATTACAGGAGCTTGAAACAGCTGCTGCGCTGGAACTGGAACAGATCCGAGCTGAGATTGACCGGGAGCACAACGATGCGGCAGCGCGAAGAGATGCGCAGCAGGCTTGGTTTGAGGAGTTCTCTGAAGACACCAGAAAGAAGAAGGAAGCTGCCGAAAGGGATGCCAGAGCGAAAGCTGCCAGAGCATTTAGTGAGAGAGATAATTATTGGCGAACAAGATGGTGGCGATATGTGCCAAAGTCAGACCCCAAAGAAGACAACCAGTCAGGCTGTCACTCGGGTCGAAAACACCCCAGACCTCCCAACTTTCGAGGCTCATGGGAGAAGTCCAGACATTTCTCGGGCGACAGGAGAGAGGATGGCAATTTCGGGTCACAGGACAGGTTTGACAGCCCGCCTAGCCCACCTTCCACGGTCGAGGCTTCTCCAATTCTGCGGGAATTGCTTCAACACCGTGAGGAGCCTCTCCAGTTGCGCAAGAAGATTTGGCAGCAGCCTCAGTTTTCAGCCTTTTCGCGGCACATGTTCTGATTCGAATTCCCGCAAAAATCCAAGTAACAAGCGGCGTCTCGAAGAAGTTTCCAAACAGCGGGCCGGTTGGGACAGCATGCGTTCGTTCTTGTTCTGTGATTTTATTGTACTAGACAGCCACGATCGCAAATCTTTGCAGTAAATCATAGTAAATCCACGTGCCCTCTGGTCATAAATCCTGACAATGGAAAATAACATGTAGATGATTTTCTCAGCAACATCCCCAATTCATATATTTGGAGTTTTTTTTTCCATTGCCACATTTTTTTGAGGGCAAAAATCCCGCGTGAAGAATTGCCTCTGCAAGGCGTGCTCTGTGCTTGCGATGGCATCCAGACAAGAGCGAGGGTCGGGACAAAGATCTTGCGACCCGAGTTTTCCAGCAGCTGTCTGAGTTGAAGCCCTGGTTTCTGCCTGAGGCGTAATGAAGATGTTGCTTTGTCTGAAAACGGGGTACATCGGTATACCATATACCCCGCAAATGGCAGTTTTGGTAGTGAAAATATCCGAAAATTTAGCTTTAAACTCAGAATCCATCAAATTTTGGGGTACCGGATTTAAAGACAAACCCACATGGAGGAACAATCGAACAATGTAGGAGACTTGCAGGGTACCTGCTCATCAAGTGACAGGTCAATCTGTCAGCAAAACCAGCCGGCAGCGCGAGATGCACACAGGAAAATCTGGATTTCAGCTGCGCAGGAAGTACAAATCCACCCGCGGTCTGCCGGAAATGATTGAAGTATATGTTGTAGGAGACGTTTTCTTGCCTCATGTTCCGCCGAGGAGCTGATGGGCGCAGGAGCCACTGTGGGAGTCCATGTCTGGTTGTTCCTGGTATATCGAGATCTGCCCTAGATCAATGAGCAAAGGAAAGCACACCTTGTGACCTTGTGTGTATATATAGATATACACATATAATTGAAATTGAACTGGATATAATGATATAGTGGACAATTTTGTAGATGTGATTTAGATACATGACATTGCCACACCGCATGTTCATGACAGTAATCATCCTTTGTGAATCGTGTCAAAACACGTGGGATCCAGCAACATTTCACCGCGCCAGGCAGCAATGACAGCAACCTGAGCAAGGGGCCCAAGGACTCCTAGGGACTGCTAGGGACTTGTGATCCCAAGTGCCAAGCAACGAACCCACCATCTGCTTGACCTTTCGTTGCACGTCGTTTCACAGTGACAAACAGCCGGCCCCTCGGCTTTGGCTCCAGTCCCCGTTGGGCAACATGTTTGGACTGTGAGCTCTAGCCTAGGTGGGAGCTGTAGGACACTGTAGGAGTTCAAACTGGCGCAGTTTGATGATGGCTGAGCTCAACCAGGAGTTGCAGCATGACTGGGCATGTATAAACCGCGTTTTAAAGAAAACACCCAACTGGCATGCTGTAGTTTCTAATTCCCATAAAGAGGGTGGTCTGGTAGGAAAGAATTCTATGATCAAACGAAGATTTGTTCATATTTGCTAGCAAACCTTGCCGCTCGACCCACGACCAAACAGGAATCTAAACTGTTGACTAGCTGCACTTGCTCTCTCAAACTCCAGCTGCAATAGCATCCGCTGATAGGTACTGTATTTGAAGGGTGTTTATCGCCCCTTTTTTTGGGCACATGTCGTCATAGTCTAAAAAGAGGTCCCCTGTGGCACCGCCTCTTGACTACTAGTGATGAAGACTTCTCCGCCACCTCTTCAGAATCTTGTCTCACACCAATGTTGACAATCTCCGGGTTTCGGCCACATCATCTGCCAGCAACTGCCAGCACATGTTGTAGACGCGGTTTGCCGTGCCACCTTGGGTGCAGGAGCAGACCAAGAACAATGACGTGAAGGAGAAAAAGGAGAAGGACAAGAAGGAGAAAAAAGAGAAAAAAGAGAAGAAACACAAGAAAGAAGATGGAACGAAGGAAAAGAAAGAGAAAAAGGACAAGGATGGCAAGCACAAGGACAAGAAAGAAAAGAAGGAGAAGAAGCACAAGGACTTGGCTGGTCTCACTGCGGTTTCCCCCTAAGTTTTGTGCACCATGGATCTCTTGAGGGTTTCTTGTCCACCGCCTGATCTGTCAGGACAAAGAGCACAAGAAGGACAAGAAGGAGAAAAAAGAGAAGAAGGAAAAGAAAGAAAAGAAAGACACCGAAGTGGGAGACAAACCCGTTGCCAAGAAACTTGGCACATTTGGTGATTCTTGCACAACCGCATACGCCGTTCGCCACACCTCCCAGTGTCCCTGCCAGTTTTGTTCCTGGCTGGCCCTAAGGAGGAGGTTGCATGTGGTGAAGCACCTGCAGGCGAAAAAGAAAAGACAAGAGAAGAATTCTGAGCAGAAGGTCTTGCTGAAGAATCCTGACAAGATAATCATTCCAATCATTGATCATTCTTGGATATTTTTGGTGGTTCTTAAGTGCTGCTTTACCTAGGCCTTGCTGCATCCGAGGACCGAAGATGACTACGAGCCTGTCAACCGCTGGTGGGAACGGGAGGATGGTGCTGAAAGTGGCAAGCGTGGTGCGAAGAAGTGGGACACTTTTGAACATCACGGGCGCCTTGGCCAACTGGTCGGTTTTCAGTCTCAGTGCGTCTCAGAAGAAGGGGAAGACCTACGGAAGAGACATGACAATGGACTCAATCCCAGCTGCGTCAACGTGACCGAGGCTTTTGTTTGCGCCAGACTACGAGCCTATCAACGTGCCGCTGGTCTACGATGGACAAGAGGTCTATTTGCCACCTGAAGCTGTCCCTTGGTCGCAAGGACAAAACAAATACTCAGAGGGACATGGAAACGGGCAGCATTCTTGGGCTTTTTTCCATTCCTCTCGTGGCCAGGAAGAGATTGCGTACTACTGGACATCAGTGAAAGGCACTCCGTATGAAGTCAAGGACGGAGACACCTGTGAACATGGTCAAGTTTCGTTTGAACAAATCATACAGGATATTTTTGACTCCTGCTCGCTGTATGCCAGGACATTTTCATCAAGAATTTCTGGAAGACTTTTAAGGAATACCTGCCCAAGAACTCCCCCATCAAAGACTTCAAAAAGTGTGACTTTACCAAGCTGAAGCTTGGTGCAGCCGAACTTGCCAATATGATGTGATGTCTCATCATTGAATCTAGTTCAATTTTAAAGTGAATCGATGCGAGAGTACGCACACATATTCTCATGCGTCACTTGGCTGCCACGTGGAATATGCCTGTCCCAGGGCCACAAGTTCAGACTAGGTGTTTGATGCCCTTTCGCCAAGGAGCAACCATCGTGAAGCAGAGCGCCAGAAGCGCTTGAATCGCAGCAAGGAAGAGAAGGATGCCTAGTCGATGTCACTGTCCAGTCTTCTGCATCTAGTAAATCCATGTGAGCCACTGCAAAACTCTGGCAATAGGAAACATGTCAGAGACGGACAATGGTTTTCAGAAAGTGCACCGCTTGTGCCCATTCTTGTGCGCATACATCATTTTTCCTCAAGCGATGCCACCCAATTTACCATAGATCACTTTTGTACCAACGTGTGGCAAGGGATGGGGCCTTCCTAAATTTGTTTTTCCGAGATTGCTCGTGTCAGTCCTGTTGGGGAATTCTGACGCTAGGAAGCAGAGAAAGCAAAGACTGCGAAAGAAACGGAATGGTACAGCAACTTGTTTGGAGATTGTCTTTATTGGCGCTCATGTCTTTCGAGTCCAAGTGTACGTCTCGCGCATGTCAAGCATTACCCAACAGAATTCTTAGGCGTTCGTTTAACCGTTTAACTTTTAACGGTTGACCAATGATTTTACATTGCTTTGGAGCGGTCTAGCTGTGAGGTCACGCAATCGTCAACGGCGTGCGCGAAAAGTTGGGCAACTTCAGGTGGAAGCCTCAGCGCTGCAGCAAGGCGGTCAAGGACTACACGATGTCCAGCTGAGGTTGGAACCTCCTCAGCTGTTCCGGGGACGTGGAGAACATCCCAAGCAAGGACTGCTGAAGAAGAGGACCTTTCCGGAAAGCATCTCGGCATGGCCAACAAGGGAAGGGAGCTGGGAAGAGACATGTAGAAAATGAGTGGTATCCAGCATGCTAGCTGGCAGGTTATAGACGGGCTAAGAATGCTAAGACAGACGCAGTGTTCGTGATCAGCAGAAAAGAAAACGGAGGAACCATGAGGAACCCTTGTCTATGACCCATTATAACCCATTATACTTGTTGAGCCATTCGTTCTAATTCCATCTAATTCCATAATTCCATTCGTAGAGGGTAATCACAGCCTCTTTGCTGCAACCATTTTCCCGGTTGAAGCATGCAAGGTGTGACCCTCAACATCGCTGAGACGGCCTGCGTTCCCAAAGTCTGTGGAATGCCGGGACACGCCTGGAGGGACATCGTCCACGAGAACACCGTCCAATGGATAGCAACCTTTGAGGATGGATTGTTACAAGACAGCAAGTACGTTTCCTTCGCTGCCACCAGTGGCCTCAAAGGGCAGCCTGACATGCTGAAGTATGACAGGGCCAAGCGACTGGTGAGCAAGATTGATCAAATCCGGGATTCATACAGGTCTCTGATGAAGAGTAAGAAGCCAGCGGACAGACAAAAAGCCACGGCAACCTACTTCATTGACAAACTAGCCCTGCGAGTAGGTGGTGAGAAAGATACTGAAGAAGAGGCAGACACTGTGGGATGCTGCTCACTGCGTGTAGAGCACTTGAAGCTTACAGAGCCTTTGACCATCCATCTCGATTTCCTGGGGAAAGACTCCATCCGATACACCAACAGTGCCTGGGTGTGTACTTGTTGTGATTTGAGACGGTCAGATTTTCGCAACTTTTCAGCATTAAACTGGCGCATTAAACATGCGCCATTGGTCATGCACTGAGGTGTGGAAGTGACCAAGGAGGTCTTCGACAATGTGCAGGGCTTTATCAGTGGCAAGGCACCCACTGCGCAAGTCTTTGACAAGATTGCCCCTGCTGACCTCAATGAGTGGCTCGGTGTTGCACCAGTATTTTCCGCACACCGTGATCCGATGATATGATTTGTGTCGTAATATAGTGTAAGGATGAGGATCGAACGGCACTGGCCTGTGGTTGGCAAACTGGGCTCCTATTCACTTGTTCTAGGATTGTTATGACATGTCCTTATCAATGGCATACTGTGACTATGACTGACATCCTTTCATGCTGTATTCCTTGATGTATTTGACGTGAGGTACTTCAAGCAATTCATGGACGACTTATCAGCGAAGGTGTTTCGAACCTACAATGCTTCCTTCACATTGCAGGCCGAGCTGAACAGGTTCGAAGTGAAGAACCGATCATCCTTTTCCCAGGACTGCCAGGGTCGCCAGAAGTTGATGCCAATTGTTTGGCCAACAAACAGCCCCGAGTTTGGATAGAGACGAAGATAGACGTCGAGATGGTCAGGCCCAAAACCAAGACGCGTGGCTCCTTCAATTCACAAGACTCTTCAGAAATGAAGAGGGTGAGAGCAGACATATTGAAATTATTAAACACGATCGCAAAATGACATGTGCACACCTTTGACAACTGCCCCAGCAACCTCAACGGAGATACCCTGAAATTAGTGGAATTAAATCATAGAATGAACATGAATGAACAACACTGAACCCTACAGGATCAGCTCTATCAATTCTACAACGATGCCAATCGCCAGGTCGCAATTTTGTGTCTCTTGGTGATAAATGGCCCATGGATACCACGTGGCCGACCTGCGCTTTATGTATATAGCTGTTTTGTTGCTGAGGTAACCATCAGAAGGCTGAATCCAAGGGGCATGCCCAATCAATGGAAAAGATGAGAAATGCACAAAAAGAGATGGAAAGGAACTACAAGGCTCTCAAGAGACACGTGCAGGCTTTGCAGCAAGGCAAACCGATCCAGGACTGGCTGCGACGTCATGTTCAGCCAAAGGGGCCCAGTGGCCTGATGGATGCCAAGGATGTCTAAGGATGCCATAGGATGATTTCGGGTGAAGACACCAGTTTCCATAGTAAAACATGGTGAAACCATGTGAAAGCCATGGTTTCTCGGAGTGTCTTGTCACAGCTCCCAACCCAGTGAGCCCTCCGATACAACAGATGTGGCCAGGACGCTTCCGCTAAGCTGCCCAAAGATGCCAAGGCTGCAGAGAAGCTACTGGGCGAATGTGAGCCATTGCTGATCCCATCCAACTTCCATGGACTTCTAGATGAATGAGTGTGTATATATATATAAACATGGATAGATATAAATATAATACAAATAGATATAAAGAGAGACACAGAAGACAGTATAACAACCCATATGTAAAGGAATTCGAGTGTTTCCACAAGCCCTACATGCCATGTGCATGCTTCAGACCACAGTTGCGCTGCTAAGGAAGATGCACGAGGTCAAAGCTCGCCTGCTGAGGCACAGAACAGCTATCGAAACCAAGGAGGCGAACAAGACGGTGTCTCTTGGGACATCCAAAGTCAACTACATGGATCCGAGAATTACTGTGGCGTGGTGCAAGAAGGTGCCATGGCAATGGCAGTCATGGCAGAGACTGTTTCAGAACATTTCGGAACCACATTCTGAAGTATTTTTCTGAAAGCGTGCATGTTTGCTGGTCACTTTGATTCCGCCTTTTCCAGGTGGACCTCGCAATTGAGAAGGTCTTTCCAAAGACCATCCGCACCAAGTTTCCTTGGGCCATGCATTTTCCATCTTCATATGTCTTTGAATAGTTTCAGATGTTTCAGCCTGGCATGAGGGTAAGCCTCTGACAGCTATAGTTGTTGACGGCAGCATTTGTTCTTTTGCTCGTCACGTCTCACCAGTGTGCTCCCAGTGCTAGGAGCACAATGTCCAAATATGTCCAAAAGTGTAGTCTGACATGGCTCAACATGGCTAGATATGGCTCAATTTCTAGAGATTTGGCGGCTGATTCTGTAGCTTGGGGTATGGGTTGGCATGAAGCATGGACAGAGGCTTCGTGGAGAGCGTCTGCGCAGTGCTTGTGCCGCGAAAAAGACGCTGGCCGGTCTGGACGGGGGCTGTTACGACAGAGGGAGTATCTTGAGAAATTGAGAAATTCAGAGACTTCCAGCATCTTCCATGTCCTCCAGATCTTCCATCAATGCGTTATGATTCATTCCTTGATTCCATTGTAATCCATTGTGTGTATATATATAATATACATATGCACACACACACATATATATATATATGTCTGTAGATAGATAGATAGATAGATAGATAGATCGATAGATAGATCGATAGATAGATAGATAGATAGATAGAAATGATATAATAATATTATTCCATGGGTTTTACTTGCCAGTTTGGATCAATTTGGTACTTCTCTTAAAGTGCCCTGGCTTCAGGTCACATGGGCAACCTCAGTAACTTCAGCAACGACACAGATGACGGCGTCGATGCCGTCGATGCCGTCGAAGTCGAGCCTGTCGAGCCTGTGAATGCTTCAGCCGCAGCCTGGATCCACTGGGAATCCCAGGGTCGCTGATGAAAGGGGTGATTCAACTGAGGACATGGTATGCAACTCCGATTACATGCACCAAGCCTCAGTAAAGGTGTCTTGACGGTGCAAAGCTACTGTGAGTCATGGAATCTTGACATGTCAAAGCGGAGGTTTACTCTGGATCTTGGCAACTTCTCGATCGCTGGACCAACAGTGTTGGAGGCTGTTGCACTCCGTGGACAGCTTTGTTGAGTCAGTGCAGTAGCCTGTGAGGGGTGGAAACTGTCAATCTGACATCAGGATCTTAAAGCATCTTAAAGCATCTTAAAGCATCTTAAAGCATCCATGCAGTGGATGCAAGGGACTTGCCAAGTGCGAGGGGTCTCGAAAAGCATCGCTGGTGCAGTTCCTGTGAGGTGGTTGGGGCTGAAGGTTTCGACAGACGCAAAGTGCGTGCTTGGTGCTCAGCTGCTCAGAGTACTCAGAGCTTCAACCTGCGCCTGGTGCGGCAAAGCGGATGGGCACTGGATGGCACTGGATGGCCCTGCGCCTCTTATCGAACGCATTTGCTTTGTTGATCCATAGGGATTCCATGGCGTTTGAATCTCCAGGGCACCAAACCAAGCGAGGTTGGAGTAAGTTTCTCCTTGACTGCGGGGCTCCTGGCTTCTGTTTTTTCTGGAATGTGGAGTGTCTAAGACAACCATAGAGTGACGCAGAATTTGTTTGGTTTGAGCGAGGTGCATGGGTTTGGCTTGGGGGATGGTATCTCCCAAAGGCTGAGACTTGTCGGTCTCTCGGCAAACTTCAACCATCGGTTGTAAGCTGAGTAAACTGTTTTCTGGCTCGTTGCTGGATTGAGGTGCTAGCCCCTCTTAGGTGTGGCCAAGAAGGGTGCTGCCCTCAACACAGCTTTCTAGACATCTACATTTTCAAGTCAGCTATAGCTTTTCCCCCTTAATCCCATTTTTATTTTTGGCTTGGGACTGCTTGGGGAACCAGTGAAGAACACAACAGCACCTCCCAGACCCACTGGAAGAAGTGTACCAGGACCTACAACGGTACTCAGCACCTTAGAGGCCAACTGGCAGAGGACTGGGAATCAACAGCCATCGACAACTGGTGGAAATTGATGAAACTGGGCTGTTTCATTTTTAGCCATGGAGAATTATGGAGTTGAGGATCCGGATGCTCCTGGGAGTGGCTCAGATCCAAACACTGCCCAGACGCTGGGAGCCCAGTTTACAGCAACGTTTCCGAGCTGACACCAGTGATCCAACTGACATCAACTGACATCAACTGACATCAACTGACATCAGCTGACTCCAAGGTGGGGGCCATTGGCCCTTTCACGAAGTGGCTTGTACTATGTTTGCCTCTGCTCCGGAAGAGGCATATGCTTTCAAGCTCTGAGATTGATTGACAAGTGTTTCCCATTCTTTCCCAGTGTTTCATTAAAATCGCTGCAAGCCTTCCTCGCATTTTCTCATTGATTTCATGGGGTCCCCCATTTCTCTTTCTTTGCGTTGGAAGGGCGAGGTTGCGGGCAAGATATCGACTTTCAGGTGGAAGTTGGCCCACTCCTCAGCTAATCAGCTAATATTAGCTCTCAGCCCGAGCGTCGACATTGCCCAGGTAGCGTCGAAGCCTTTTGGCCAGACTTGCGCCACAGCCTTGGTTTTGGGAATGTGGGGATAGGCTGATACGAACAATGTAAAAAACAACAACGCCAAGATGCCTGGGGAAATCTTCGATTTGTTGTTTTGAGGGAGGCAGGGAGCATTTTTGAAGCCATCTTTGGAAGCAAAGGCTTGGAAACTGGTGGCTTGGAGTCTGGACCTTGGAACTCCGGAGGTTCGTTCTGTAGATATATCTGTAGATATATACATCAGTAGACTGGAGGAACTTGCATGTCGAGAAGATGAGTGGATCATGAGTGGATCATGAGTGGACCATGAATGGATCATGAGTGGATCATTGTAGATCTATATGCATCTATATGCTGTGATCTAGTCACGTGAAGGTTGAGAGTGATGCCTCATGTGGTGTTCTCCATGAATCTTGTGGTAATAGCCTCAGTCTTGTTGCATTCGAAGCGCCGTCCAAAGTGTTCGATGTCAGCTATACTCACATCGCTCAGGGCCCAGAGGTCTCGGTTGACGATCGGGTCATGCGCTCAGCGGTGATATGGCTGTGCTATCCGTAGTTGCTATAGCTATCGCCTCTCATTAGGTGAGGATCATAGACTTTAGCATTGAATGCGGTCAGCCTGGGCGCTGCACTTAGCGACTGATTTTTTTGGAGTCTTTGCCACTTTGCCCCCCGCCTTGCGCCTACAAAGAGAACACACTTTCCTGACTTCTTTCAGGTCGGGATCGCACACACCGAAGCTGTTCCACTCTTACAGTTGGAGAAACTTGTGATGAATGTGGAGCGCAGTACATGATGGCACGTGTCTTTTACATTCTTTTACATTCTTTTACTCCATTTGGCTGCTGTATCTCCTTCTCTCCAGAGTCTTCTCAGGCGTGGCCCTCTGGCAGAAGTTCCAAACACTCCAGGAATGATGGGTCCGGAACTCATTGCACACGTTTCTCCTTTCCCCTTTCTGCCATTTGGCATGGGGGTGATGTGCTTACATGGGTTTGATTATTGGGATGTGTCTGGAAAGGTGAACAGAACTCAGGAGAATCACGGAGAATCCTTCATTTTTCTTCTCACATTGGAGGCCCTGCAGGGCAGAATCTGACCTGGCCACAGCTGTGTGAAGTCCCAGGGTCCCAGGGGTTGGGACAGCTGTAGTCATGGCATGGCATGCCATGGCGCCAAGGCGACTGGTGGACGGTGGCGTTTTCCGGGTTTGTTGGTGTCCTGGAGCTCAACAGGGTGGTGTTGGAGCCTCAACTTGCACCCATTGGAAGTGGCTGTGAGTCATGGCTGCTCTAGCAGCATATCAGCTGATCATATTTTCCAAGTACTCATGGTATTTTCCAGCTGCACCGTGGAGGATTTCACCATGTTTCACCTATGAGCAACACACTATTGAATTCAACTGATGTTTGGAGCATGAGGCCGAACAGAGCAGCTGTTCCAAGCCGGAGGATTTCTATGCAGAGGCCTGGGGTCGGGGTTGCCCCGCGGGATAATTCAGAAAATATTCAGAAAGACAGAGACTTCTCCATCTTCTCCTGGAATATCGAATGGACGGCATTCTCGAGATTTGAGAGCCTTCTGGGCCTTCTGTTTCAAGATTCGACAGATTGCCTGGCTCTCGCAGTTTGGGACCTTCGCAGCCTTGAAAATCCGTGATGGCTGGCCAAGACCTCAGGTCAAATGGTCGCTTGATGTCGCTTGTTCCCCTAAGATGGAAGGTCTTGACGCAGCCAATTTCTTCATTTCTTTGAACAGACGCCCGGCCAGCTCTTGGTCCTCACGTTGCCTTCTCAACTTTTGTCTGAGGCCCAGTGCATGTGCACGAGCTGAGGAGCCAATACTTCTGCATGTCAAAGCCTTGGAGCTCTGATCCCTTTTTTTTGAGACCTGGTTTCTGACATGCCCACGACAAATGTGTTTTCCTCTCGTTGCTGTGCCGAGCCACCCTTCTCAAGGCCCGAGTTATGGCTGTCAAAAACATGGCCGTTTGCTAATGTCAGGCTATTGCAGTGTGGGTTTCCTGCTGTTCTGCGGGGCCTTCGCTACAATCCATACAGCCCCACTGGTGCGAAGACAGGGTTGCAAACCATCGTGTTTGCCAAGCTGCCCGCAATCATCACGGACTGGAGTTCCCTGCCTACCTTCTGTGTTGGACTGGCCTTACACCACACAACGCGACTGGAGTTCGAAATTGGGCGAGAGGATTGTGAAAGCAGCCACTCCAACCGTTTCCAAAGAAACATGCGGTGACTTCAAACTATTTGGCGATTCGGCTTGGTGTTTGGCAGCCTTCAATGCAACGGATGTTATCGGCTTGTCCTTTGGCATTGAGGAGCGTGACCTTTGGAGCGAGACCATGAGCAATGTCTTTCACATGCCCACAGAACTGTATGACTGTTTTCAAGATCCAAGCGCTTCTCCACCACTGTCATTGAAGGCACCAAATGCAGAAGGATCATGCCTTCACACAGCTCATCACTGCTACGAAACTGCCTACAAGGCGTTTCGTGTATGCTTGGGGCCAACAATTGGAATGGTCGATGGGCGGGAGTACACGTCCCTGCCAGTGTTGTTAAAGGATCGACCGCCTCTTGCAGTTCATGTGAAGATGGATGTGGAAGGTTCGGAATGGTCGGTCCTTGAAAACTTGACATCTACGGACTTCGCAAGGATCCGCACCATCGACGCAGAGCTCCATTTCGGCTTCTCGGCCGCCTCCGAAGCGACCTATCGGAACTGGCCAGTTTCGGAACGAGTTCGTCGGGAGGTGGAGATCTTTGAGCGGCTGCTTAAGAGTTTTGCTGTGGTTGGGAGCAACCTGGAAACCAACGCTGAAGGGTGGCAGCCCAATGGGCAGGGCAAGAAAGAGCAGCCTGTGGTTCACACAGCTGGAGGCTTCCCAGTGAATCAGTTTGCAATCAGCTTTGTCAATCGGAAACTTTTGTCCAGAAACATAGGAGCTGCTGTGAGTGCAGCTGGTGCTGTTTCATTCTAGATTCCTATTCTTGCGAAGGAAAAGGGACTCCGTGGGAAAATGCACCGGCTTATTCCGCTAGATTCAGCTCCTCTTTGATACGAGATGAGAGGGAGAACATCTTCCAACTTGTTTGGTCACAGGGACTCGTTGACACAACCCATGATGTTTTGGCTCAAGACTGCTATGAGTCTATGAGTTGATATTTACAGTAGATTTGAATTATTATATAGATACTTCCAAGTGCTGCTTCGCAACGTTCGACATGAAAGAAGCCTCCTGGGTTCCGGCAGCTTTGACTGCCGTCACTGGCTGCACCGGCGCCTTGGTTGCAGATGGATCAGAAGACAACTTTTGGATACTTTTGGTAATTCCCGCAATTCAATTGTCACCGATAAGTGGAAAGGGATGTCAATGATTTCACACACACACATACAGCTAATATCATTTGATGATTTATTAGTGATATATTATAAAATCATAAAGCATACAATATAAGCTGATGATATATTATAACATCATATACAATATATATATATATATTACTTGTTCATGCGCGTCGCTGTGCAAGCAACAGCGATGCATGAGGTTATGCTGCAATGTGCTGGGCTTTGGACTTTCTGACACCACTTCCTGATCTCGAATCAGCCCCCGGTTTTCGAAAAGCAGGGGCCTCAGCTGGGCACCCGATGAGTCTTGAGATGCCTTGGTCCCAAAGTCAGACAGAGAGCGAGAGAGAGAGAGATACTCATGCTACTGTATCTATGATTAGATATCAATTATCAACTTCTGTATATATATAATATATATATATATATATATTATATATATACACACTATACGAAACACTTGCCGAACTCTCTTCTCCGGCTGTCACCGTTAGAGTTTGACTTTGGTTTCAGGTGATGGTGGCCCTGCTGATCCATGAAGCCTGGGTGACGTTTCAGCATGCAAATGTGCTCTTCAACCCGTTTTGCCAGCAACTGGATCGGCGCTATGGAGTTTCGATGCTGCGAAAGGGACAGCACTGGGTGATTGCAAGCGTACTGGTGATGTACTGGTGCAGAGAGGTTTTTAGCATGCTCTTCTGTTTGCCATACATCTCCCTGCACGCACAAGTCGCGGTTTTCGTCTCTGTAGCCTATCACACGGTGAAGATGCTCAGCATCTGCAAAGACGCACAAAGGCTCGGAGCTGTTGATCCAAAGCGTAACAGGCATGTTATAGATACTTTATGATACTTTTGGAATTCCTTATTAGATCATACGATAATATGATATAACATGTCACACAGAATGCAATATATTAGAATTGTTTTGTAGGACTTTTTCGGACATATTATGTATCAGGAATAGAGGGCGCAGGTGGCCGATCGCCAGGTGTTGGTCCCCAACCTTGGGCATAATGAAACTGCTGATCGACCATTGGCATTTCCAAAGCCTCCGCACTCAAATGGTGAGCCTTTTGCGTATGGCACTGCAGGGCTATGACACCTTCACCCATGTTCTCGTTGTGCGCGATCTCATCAATGGGCTGGGTGGAGAGGGTGTGCTGTTTTTGCACATCACCTTCTGCCTGTGGCTGCTTCATGCAGTGATGAACCAAATATCTCAGAAGAGCACAGCCACTTTGGTCGTAGAAACTTGGCGCCACATGCTTGGCTTTGCACGCCCCAAGTCTGAGGAGAAAGTTCTGACCGCTGACCCGGTGGAGACATGTGTTGTCTGCGATTTACTGCATCACCGAGCAGGAAAGTTTTGGAAAGATGCCGCGCAGAGGAAGAGAAGTCAGAGCGGAGGGTGCCCGAGTCAAAGGGCGTCGCCTGGACTTAGTAGACAACTTATGGCTGCGATCTTCACTTTGCAAATCGGATCTACGATGTATTCAATGCTGCTCTTTATTTTGGGTGGCTTGCAACTGGGCACTCCGCTCAGTTCTGCTTCAATTTCACTCATCTTCTTTTTGCATGAAGGATGGGTGATGCTCCAACATGCCAATGTCTTGCTGAACCCCTTCTGCCAACATCTTGATCGAAATTATGGAGTCTCTCTACTTCAGAGTGGCCAGCACTGGGTCATTGCTGGTGTTCTCGTGATGTACTGGTCGCGTGAAGTGCTCAGCATGCTTTTCTGCCTCACCTCTGTCACTTACAGGACTCAGGTTGCAATCCTGGTCTCATCTACCTACCACTTGGTGAAGATGTACAGTATTTGTGTGGATGCGCAGAGGCGCTCGTCTCCAACCCTGGGAATTATGAGGCTGCTGATTGATCATTGGCACAACGAAACCCTGGCGCAGCTGGCCGTCAGTGCTCTCCGAATCTTTCTGCAAGGCCTGGTTGGGGTGATCCATAACTAACCCGCCCTGGCCCAATCCAACAGAGGCCTCCAGAAATTTAATTCAGAGGGGACGGGTTCTGGTGGGTTTGACAATCCTAAACAGTTTAAACATTCCAAAACCATGTTTGTCGCATCATCGAAGAGAGTTGTGTGTTGGGAATTTGGTTCTTTATGGCCTTGATCCTACCATGAAAATGTGGAGGCGGTGATACTTTCACTCACGTGCTGATTGTGAAAGACATGCTTGGCGACCCTGGTGACGGACGGCTTCGATATTTGCATCTTCTGTTCCTTGCTTGAAATTACGTGAAAGTTAGCGGAACCTCCAACCTCCCCCATGAGGATCGCAATGTCGCTGGGGCCAATATATCACTCTATATCGAAGTTTCTTCCGCAGAGCAGCTGATAGAAATGTTGAAGTTTCCACCCAGCTCTCACTAAATACCAGGCGCTGTTAAAGCTTTTGTGAACTGGTGGTTTTGGCAACGGCAGGTTTGTAGTTTGGATTGCCCATGCGGCTCTAAATCAAGCAACCCAGAAGAGCACCGCTACTCTTGTGGTTGAAGCGTGGCGCAAGGTGTATAGACCGGTGGTGCACGCATCTGGGCCTTTTGTGGCAAGGTTTGCCTGTTTGTCTTTGTCGCACGTCCCATGTGGAAACTTAGCCCTTGTCAATGAAAGTCAACAGTGAGGGCCCTCCTCCAGAATAATTAATGATCAGCATGATTTCATGATTTCATGTTTTCGTATGTTTTCGTATGTTTTCATGAGGTCTCATTTTTAGGGATGTTTGGGGTGAGCTTTATATAGATTGGTAGCCATCACTGGGCCATCACTCTCCGCAGTGAAATGTCTCCATGGTTTGACCTCAGCTTTAGCTTTGTGACTGTTGTTGCCACACAACCAAGGACAGTGGCGGTACCTCCCAAACTTGTCGCGTTTGCAGCCTATTGAGCGAGAAAGGTCCAAACAGCACCAGGGAAACCGGTGCGAAGAAGAAGGATGAAAATGTTTCCGTGGATTTAGTGTTCCTCTCGCATCCTGCATATCCAAGTTCTTTGTTCAGCCTTTGGTGGCCAAGCGCTGTAAGCGCCGGTGGCTGGAAGGCAGCCTGGTGGATGCAGTTGGTTGCACCACCTTTATCACTTCTCATACCAATCCTATGGCCATGGCTGCGGAATGGGGAGTGTATGGAAGTGGCAGAGGACATCGAATATTCAGGCATCCGGATGCAGAATTGGGTCCTGTCCAACTTCGGCTATCAATACGTCCTATGGCCCTTCCGAAGACTTGTAGAAGCGCCTTGTCTCATATTCCCTTGTATGTCGAAGTCTTCACTTTTTGCATGTGGAAGACATCGTACTAGCAAGAGGTTGATAATTTTCTCTTCGTATCTGCGAAGACTTATGGATTCAGAAATCCAACAGAAAGCCAAGGAACGCATTGTCAAGACCGCCAGGCTGGCAGAGCACCGGAAAGTGTCTGTCCTTTGCCTTGGAGCTTTGAACAAGGCCGAATGGATGAACAATGGTGTCTTGGCGACACTGTGACACTGTGACACAGGCATATGCCAAGAATATGATGTAGGAGATTGTTGGAGATTCAATTCATATCAATTCATACTATATATATATATAACTCATATTAATTAATTCAAATTAATTCATATGATTGATGCATCATATTATATGATCTTTATGATCTGACATCATCCATATATCATTTGGGGCCACTTTCACCTCCGAGGTGGCTTGGGCCTGCTCGTGGGTTCCACCAGCAAGATGCGGATCGTTCATGGCAACACCTTGACAGCCGCAGCTGTGGTGGAATCTGGGTATTGCTTTAGGTCTTGGATATTTCACCATGAAAAACACCATGAAAAACACCATGTTGAAAAACACCTCAAATTCCATCCAACTCCAATTTGTTTGGGAAAGATCTGCTCAACTAGGTAGAATATCTAAAGCTACCAAAAATGGGGACTAATTTCCATCTTGCTCAATTTTCCGCACATGATTTGCGGAAATCAACGAGGAAACTGCCAAAGCGCTGTTTGGGGATGCCTGCGAAGTGTTTGTCACAGGCGCTTCCAGCAACTTGGTGTGCTTCCTCGCCCAAAGCGCTTCACAGGGATTTTGAACTGGGTTTTATGCATCTTCAGGAACTGTTCCTTTATTTCGACTGAGTCAGGAAACGATATGTCAGATTTTTTAGCATGCAGACGCACACGCGTACGGGCACCAATTGCTCCTCTTCCTATCTAGTACAGGGCTTTGCATGACAGTATCATTTGCTTCGCAATTTGCTTCGCAATTTGCTTCCAGTGTGTTTGACCAAGTTTGACCACTAAGCCACTAAGGCAAAGTTGGAACGGCCGTGGTCTTGAGCTTGCTGCAAAATGGCTTCGAAGTCCTGGCGCACTCCAGTGACTCCAACCGATCCAAAAAGCTGCTGGCCAAGTGCCGCTCCTTCGATCCGCAGGTGGCTGGAAGGATACGGGTGACCACTTCGCTGGTGAAAGGAGTGCATGTGCGGCATTGGGTGGTGGGAAAGAGTGACCGGAAGGTGCTGAACTACGTGCCACAAGGAGCGAAGGCTGTAGTCTTTAGCGTGCCCAATCCCTTCGAGTCAGGGCGACGCGATGTTTTAGTGCTCCCAGGGGGGATTCTCCACATGGATCTGACGAAGCTGTCCAAGCCCAGACAATTTTCAAATTTGCTGGAAGACCATGATCCTCAAACAAATTTGGCATGTTTGGCACTCTTGTTTGCAACCCCAAGCCAGGATGTTGGCAGACCCCAAGTGATAGCAGGGGAAAACGCGCTTATTGGGACCAATGTCAATTAACTTTTCCTGGATACATGTAAGCAACATTACGCGATCATGAATATCTGCCCTTTTTTAAAGCCAAATCTGATTGAAAGTGAGGAAATCTATGCTTGCCATGCAGCTGGCGTTGTTGCAGCTGCAAATCCAAACTGGCTTGACGAGCTGGGCGAAGTACGCTTGGAAGATATGTCAGTGCAGTGGAAGGCAGGGACTATGCTCAAAGAGACAAACATCCTCATCCACCTCCCAGCCCCATCATCCCATCATCATCTTACAGACTTTGGACCCGTGGATATCATGGGAAAATCGTACTATCCATAGGTGGTCAAAACAGAATGTAATACCGGATCACAGTAATACTTCAAACACGGATGGCCTTCTTACTGCTACACCTATTTTAATATTTTTTTTGTGGGTTGGGGAGCTCTTCATCAGTGATCTATACCATCTATAGCCAAGTGGAGGTGTTGCCCTCAAACTCTCGTGAGGCCGCTCTGAAGATGGGCTTCTCACTGCCAGAGATCCCCAGTCAAGCAGAACACTCAAGCAGACGATCTCCTTCCAGCACCTTGGTGGGAGACAGGTGAGACTAGCCCAGATGGTTTTACTCTGCGGAGGATATCCGAGAATAGACCCCAATCACTTGAGAATCTGCTGGATGCCTTTCCCCTTCCACACTTTGACACCTTCCGAACATGTTAACATGGTAACTAATGTTAGCATTCCATCCAGCCATCCAATGACTTTTACGACCTGCAGATGGTCACCCGAGGTCCTGCAGTCATTGTTGTGGGGGGCGGCCCATCGGGCTTGGCAGCAGCTGCTGCCCTGGTGCAAAAAGGTGAGGATGTGGTGGTTCTGGAGCGGCAGAAGAGCATCCAGGGAGGCTGGTGTCAACACTTTGATGGCCTCACTATCACCACCAGGGCATCGACATGTGGTTTGCCTGACTTCCCTGTGAAGCTGTTCACCTGCAACGATGAACTCAAGGGAACTGAGTATGTGGATTACCTGGTGGCCTATGCAGCCAGATTTGCTCTGGATGTGAGATGTAACATGGAGGTGGTGCAGATCAAAGAGCACGGCGGACGGTGGATGGTTTCCGTCAGACATCCTGACGGACAGGCCACATTAACGTGTGACGAGCTGGTCGTAGCTACTGGGAAAAATGCCATTCCCAGGATGCCCCGTTGCTACGACCGGCTGGATTTGCAAACTGCTCCGATCATCCATTCATCCCAATTGCAGGGGCATCGCTTTCAGCAAGCTGTCTCTGCAGCTGCTGGGCAGCTCCTGGTCGTTGGCTTTGGAAATTCAGCCGCGGATATTTGCAGCTTGATCCTTCGTCAAGCTCCCTCTGGCAGCGTGCATGTTTCTATGCGTCGACTGCCTCCAATCGTGAGGAGACAGTGGGGCCCCTTTCGGTTGGAATGGTTCGCCAAACTTTTCTCACTCGCATGTGACAAAAATGGTGACCGCCTGACCCATTGGTTGATGTACATGATCGAGGGTGACATGCAAAAGCTGTTTCCAGATCTTGACACTTGGGGCGCTAGAAAGGAGAGACATATTCCAACAGTAGATCGTGATGGCTCTCTCTTGAGGCATGTGCGCGAGGAGCGCATAGTCCCACATCAAGACATTGAAAAGATTGAACTGTGCAAACACAGTGAAGATCCATCGGAGACTAAGGTGGAAGTGAAGTTTGCTGGAGAATCGGATGTTCATTCTTTCGATTTTGTCATCCTTTGCACTGGATATGAGTCAAGCCTTGAAGCTCAGTCGTGCTTATCGACTGCTGAAGTGCTGGGCCGTGCTCATTTTGTTGGCCTGGGGCCCGAACCGAAAGATCTTCTACCGTTGGTCGGCATTGGGCGTGAAGCCCGGACCGTTGCTACACAGATCTCAGACTTGCTACATCTCAAGCGGCGCCGCGACAGATGTCGGCAGCCCGGCTCAGCGTGAGTCAACTTGAGTCAACTTGGTGAGCTGAGGCCACTTTGGAGCCCAAACCTTGCCAGTTGATATCTTTTTTTGATAGAAGACCACCTCTTGCTTAGTGTAAATAGAGTCACAATGGCCTCTCAGTGGGCGCGGTTGTGAGATTTTCATAGATTTTCAGTTTGCTGTTGCAGGCTCCGTTGAAACACCTCCGCGTTCTGGCGCTTGATTCGAAAAAAGAAGCATTGCGAAGCAGAATGACAACAGCTGAATAATGCTAAAGTTGAAGAGAATGCTCAAAGTTGAATTAGTTGAATTTGACCTTTGCAGATTGATGTATGATGTACAGTTTCAATGCCATGTTGCCCCAGATTTGCCCCAGGTCGCTGCTATCGGACTTCGTCCTGAGGCACATCCTTCGCAGTGACCATATCTGTGTGATGCGTTGCGGCCTGGAGGTGGATCGTGTTTTGCTCTTGCAAGCTTCGGCAGTATGTGGAGAGGCACTGCTGGTGGTCCTTGCAGGTCCTTGCCATTCCAAGGACTCCATGAATCCAATGAATCCAATGAATCTGCGAGGCTGCTCCAGACATCCTGGATCCCGGAGGTGTCTGGAGCTTGGATGGCTTGGATGGTACCTGGTCCTGGTACCTTGTGTCAAAGCAGCGGAATCAATGGGGAGATGCAGTGCGAGGTAGTGGCGGCAGAGTCGGGGTTTGGGGCCCTGCAGTGCAGACAAGATCCGAATGTCTTGCGCCAAGATGGGATGTGAACACCAGGACAAGAATGAGCAACAGATGCGTGCACATACCAACCATCTTTAGCATACTGTGCACGGCAATGATATATATATATAATATATATATATACACATATATTGCTACATGGGAAGATTTCGTTTCAATAATACACTACCAAGCAGTGAGCGAGGCCCTAGGTTCTTGATAGTAGGTAGGAAGCGGGTTAGTGCCTACGACCTGTGGCAATGTCCATGCTATAGGTTATGGCAAAAAAATATACATGTGCATATGCATGAACATTGAGCATATTGAGCATCTTTGAGCAACAATTGAAGCTGCCACTTGTTGAGGCTGGAGCGGAGCTGCTTGAACGCAAGATGGTGTGCGGCGGTGTCAATTCTTTGGGCGCAGTTCGCAACAGCCTCAGCCATTGGTTGTAGTGATGAATGAGTTGATTAGAGGCCAATCTCAATCCAGACATCAAAAAGGGAGGGAGTTCATCCTGAAGCTTGTGGAGCACCTATGTGTTAGATGGACCTTGAAAACTACATAAAGAGATATCAGATATTTGCAGCTGATGAACGTTCGGAGGGGACCCATCACCAGTCTAAGCTGCCACGCCGCACTGGCTTTCCACAAGGTACCTACTCTTTGGGTACCTATCGAATTTGTGTTTGCGGATCTTTCAATCAATATGCGGCTTGGTTTGAATGATCGGCACGTTCAACTCGAACCCCAGATTCAAATTGCCATTGACGAAACGTCATGTTTGGAATGGCACGCCTAGCTCAAGAAGAAATCACCATCGACATGAACTCATGGTTGAATTTTCAGAGCGTTATGTGCCTGATATTCGTGTATCCATTTATGCTTTGCTGCTCTTTGGACGGTGTTCTTGCGTTTCCATGATGAATTGCAGTTTCCGAAAACGCACTCCGTTCTTCCACATGATTTTGGCTGTGGCATACGCAAGAAGAAACCAGCAGACTGCTTGCTGCTATGAAGCCGCATGCTGAATGCTGGTGGGATTGCGTGCTGAGGATTGTTCAGATCCGTCCCACTACTGGACACCAGCTGGTGATGCGTTTCAGGTGGGGGATGGCACATCCAGTGCCACCGTGGATGCACCGGATGCCATGGATTGTGCCAAGGTCTTGATGCGCTCCACGGCACCGGGGCTTGAACCCCAGGGGTCCCAGCGCCGCACGTGTCCCATGTCATGACGCTCTAAGGGCGGCTCCCAGTGTTCCTCCACTTTCACTTCTATCCGCAGAAAGCCGACCGCTGAGTCTCATGAGGCATCCGATGCGGCATAGCAACTGAAACTGCTGCTATCGCTGCCAGATATCCGATGGGACGAAAAGAATCACCATTCCGATTTTTACAGGTGGCTAGTACATGAGCCACATCATAACAGGGATCTGCCACAGCCAACAACCACTTAGGCCCTGCCACAGCAGCTTGCTTTGCACCCACCCCACTGGGATCGCAGAGGAGGCTTGCAGCTGGATATGAGGCACACGGCAGGATGCTTCAATCTCTGGGACCGTTTGTCAGATGGACGCCCATTGCCATTTTTTGCCAATCACTTATTGCTTATTGGCTGGCTATGTTGGTCTTCCGGAAGCTTCCAGGGTTTTTACCGAGTATCCACAATGGAAGTGTTGGACGTGCCTGCAGAAACATCACAACACCTGCACTGGGGTTTTCTTTCCACGAGCTCCTAAATCAATGCAAGATACGCATAGATACGCAAGGTTTCGGTGAATGCTCGACTCTTTTGGACTCACACGGATCACTTTCAGGATGGCGTAGTGCGCATTTGGCGTCCGGCAGCGCCAAGGATTGATGCGGAGTCTGGGTGCCAAAGAATCGCAACGCATATTTCCCTGTTTTTGGCATTTTTTATGCATTTCTAGCCTCACGTTAAAGCCTTTGTTTCTGCTTGACCTTTGCAGCGCTTGACCGAATCCCCCATTGGCTCAGGTTGGTGGGTCACCTGGATCACGTGCAGGCCCTGGCCTGGTCTCCTGATGGCATGTGGTTGGCATCAGCAGGTGCCAAGTGGGGGGCAGAGGTGGCTCAACCCCATTGGCTTGGCCACCTGGCCAGTTGCTCAACCTTTGATATCCTTTGATGGTTTCAAACGGTTTCACGGGGTTTCATTATTTTTCTTGGAAGGTCTGGATGGTAGCCTGCGCATTTGGAACGTGCGTGTCCTATCTACGGAGTTGATTCACGGTGGTGACACATGAATGATATTGAATGAACATGTCCACAAAATTGCGCACATGACTTACTTCAGACGCTGAGGTAGGAATTCCGCAACACCCATGCCCAAATTGGGAACCAGTTTGGGCCAGACCTGGTGGAAACATGTTTGAACCTTAGCCTTGGAGAGGGAACCGCATCCCCGAATGTATTGATTCTCAGGCCGGACTTTGATTGGCAGAACGTTATCCTTGGACACTTGCGCGCAACTGAGTGAGATTGCTGCGGCAGATGTTGCTTGCTCCTATCCTTGTACTTGTTCCTGCCATTGGACGTATGTTTTCGATTGCAATTGTGATAGTGCTGATGGTTGTTCTTGCTGGTGCAGCTACTGATGATGGTCATTCCGATAAGGATGATGCTTGATGTCTGATTGTGAGGCTCTCCATGGACCCTCTCAACATCACAGAGGACTTGGGTCCTTGGGCATTGAGCGACTTTCATCCATGTCATGCTGAAGATGCTGAAGCGAGTTTGCAATCGTGGCAGGAGCCATTTGTAAACTTTGCTGAGAGCCTTTCCAGCGTTGATTTGGCCGACATAGGCTGGTGGTGAATGGTGCTGAAGGCTGCGCGCACCTCTGCCGTTGGGCAAAACGCGCTGCAGGTCATTTGACCCTGAAGCGAGCTGCGCGGCAATGCGAAAAGGCAGACACCGGCTTGTTTCATCTTGTTTCCTTTTTTTTATCCCTCACATGTCGAATAGGAGCTCCGGCCAGTGGGCGGACTTTTTCCCAGGATTTCTGTCCAAGTTTGCTATCCTTTCTTCACATGCACAGGCATGCGGCAATTTCCGTGAGATGGCAGCAGAATTCTGTGAGTGCAAACCGCAGTTCTCACGTTGTGCTGCGCATCGCAAAGTTGTTCCTACACGGCAAGTTACTAAAGATATATCAAGATGTATCAAGAACTGCCAAGATAATTATGAATCATGATCTATCAAGATCATCTCAGCATGTGCTAGCTTAGTTTGGAGTAAAGCTTGAGGTGTGGGCCGAGTCTGGAATGTCACATTCTTGGGTCGTCACCTCAAATCACCAACAGTGCAAAGAACATTGATTAAGCACAAAGACCAATTGGTGGCTGACACATGGCCCTCCTCTTGCAAGTGTTGCAAGGACCTGCCTACCAAAGTGTGGATTGGAGGCCATCATGTGCAGATTCAATAATCCCATTCCCCTAATTTTAGTCGCCCCTAAATGGTCCCAAAACGCTGGTTTTTGCCGATTTTTGGAGGGTGTTTCATATTGGGATGGGTCTCCGGGATTCAGGATGGAATTATATAATCATTGACATATTATGACAATGATTATATATATATAATACCTCAAAGAATCGATGCCCAACTCATCTCAGGTGCATGTCATTTTTCATCATTTTTCATTGCCAGGCCTATGTTTGGCCTCGTGCCCACCAGCAAGGGCTCACTGCAGTGGCTGTCTCGTATTTGTCCCAGTGAGACTCACCATGAATGACCATGACTATCATGACTTACCATGACTCATCATGACACCATGACTCACGAAAGCATCCGAATGGTGGATATTGGTGGATAGTGTGGATAGTTTCAGACTTATCTAACTTCACTGCCTCTCCGCTGCACAACTTTCTCCAACACCATGCAGTTTTATTTGAGCAATTTGAATGTCAAACATTGCATCATAAATCATAAATGACTCGAACCTTCGGTACAGACTAGCCTTTGACAATTTCAAGGACAGCACCTGAATGACTGTTTTGTTTTCGGCATTTTTTCACAGCAATGGCAATAACATATTTGAGCACCCTGGGACCTGCGCAGCAGACTGTACGCTGTGGCAATGGACTGGGGCTTTGGTGCATTGCTGGGCATCAGGCAGCTCTCGGCGGGCCGAACTTCGAACTTCCGTCATTGTCCATGATGTAAGATGACGATAATAGCGTGCAATCTGTTGCCCTACTCTGCCACCACGTCACAGACGTGGGCACAAATCAATTTTGCAGGAGATACTTCGGAGAGAATCAGATGGAACCCTTTTGGAGTGTGCAACTTCAACCCGCAGAGGCGCAGCAAATGCTCCAGCAATGGATGTGCCAAGCAGTGGGAGGTGGGGGTTAGCCCACGGCAATGCAAGGTGTGTCGGCTCCAAAACGCCCTGGAAGTTTGCAAGAGCTGGATGCATGCTGATCGTGAAGCCTGGAAAGTCACCTGGCAAAAGTTTTGGTAGATGTCTTGCATGGAGTTGTGAATTCTTGTGAAGCTGCTTGAGGCTTGGATATGTTTGGATGCTTGTTGACAAAGTTGACTGTTTTTGCACTATGTTACAATGTTTGCACTATCTTTGCTTTGCATTGCTTTGCATGCTCGGTATCTCCAGGCTGGGAGCTTGGAGCGACACCCCCCGGAACAGTGCCGTGTTCTCAAGGTTTCCGCTCTGCTTGAGGCGCGGCAGCTTTCGGTGTCCAAACAGAGTGCAGCTCGTTCGCCCCGTGCCCTGCAGGTCCTGGTGATCCATGACAATGAGAGGCACCTCTGCCATCATTGCCCTCATGGCACCTGCTGGTCCAGTTGAAACCCAAACCACAGACATCCACAGACCTGCAGACCTTGACAGGTCCCAAATCCGATTGCAGCGAGCAGAAAGTCATGGAGTTCCGCATCCTCCGCATCCCTTGAGCATTCTTCGATGTTTGGGCGTTCCTGTGGCTGCAAATGTGGCACCACTCCTGGCATGATGTAGCTCTTGCGGCCCAAGCTTTAAGGTGCTCTGCTGCAAAGTTTGCAGAGGTGGCTGGGAGGGACCATGTTTTTCAGCAATGACAAGAAGAGTTGACAAGCAGATGAGCGCACCACATATATAGTGATAACTTGATATATTGTTTGCCTGTCCGTCTGTCCGTCTGTCCGTCTGTCCGTCTCTCGCTCTCTCTCTCTCTCTCTCCCCTCTCTCTCCACTCTCTCCCCATAAAAAAGAAGAAAATATCTTTGGCATGGTGTGCGCACATCTTGGATCCTTTTGCTTTGCAGGTTTGTGGATCAATCAGCAGCCTGGTGAGGAGGACAAGAAGCGTGATGCTGCGGTCGAGCTGCCTTAGCCTAGAACGAACGAGGAACCAAACACCACTCATTGAAATGATAGATTAGTATTTGGAGGTTGCCATTGTCCCAAAATTGCCTCCTTACATGGTGCACTCTTGGATCTCCAGGGAAACTTATCGACCCACTACTACCATTTATATACTATGAAACTGACAATGACAGGACTAATAGTAATAATAACGACAAATAGTAACAATAACGACAAATAGTAACAATAATCATGACAACAATTGACAATAACAATAACAGCAATATAGATATAGGAATATAGGAATAAATAGGAATAAACAATATGCCTATTGGAATAGTTGAGCGCCATCCGGCAGATTCCACTGGCGGCGATTGAGAGCCTGTCGCTTGGGCTTCAGCAGATCGCCTGCAAAAATGTCATGTCAAGGCACCTAAGCTGCAAGTCATGGGGCCAAATGGGGTCATGGCGGGCCAATCTGCCATGGCGACTCCAAAGCTACCAATGACATTGTGACATATTGTGACAGAGTGGTACCAATGGGAGCGTGTTTTTGAAGTTTTGGTAGGGCCTGAAGGTCAGCCAAGAACTATTGAGTGGATCTATAAGTGGACCGATGACCCGCACAAGGGAGAAGGCGAATGGCTCAACCAGCTAGACACCCGCTACGACAATTGACATTTTTGCTTGCACATGCAGGCGTATACGAGCACATGCTAATCATTAGCTTGTTTTTTATGCTGCGCATGCATCTCAACATTGGTACAGCAACGCGACTCGCATTTGAAGACACTTCATACTGATATCGTACAGTTGCAACGCAGGTCGGAGGCGAAACATACAGATAATCAGATACGATAACACTTTAGCAAGCCGCCTGCTTGAGCTCTTGCACACAGTTCACACCTGCAGCAAGATGACACGAACTGATCTGAGGTTGCCCGGCTTCTTGGCCGAAGCGGGTGAACCAGCTACTTGTCACAGCGGAGTTGAACAGGTGAAGAATGTTGATCTTTCAAACAGCAAGATAAGAGACATGGACGGGACATGCAAAGATCATAACTTGTCCAAAATAGTCAAGGTATTGGATGTCTTCTACTACCATGAGTTGGCCGATAGCTGGCTTCGTTGTCCTCCACATATTGACCCCGGCTTGGTCACTCTCGTAGTGGCAGACCAGGAAGGCCTTGAAGCCCAGGATGGAAAGAATTGGGTGCCTCTGGGGCCTGCAGGTGCCTTTGCCTTGGCAGGGGCAGAGTGGGCGTATTTTGCCTCGATCGACTCGAATGTGGACTCCAACTGTCCAAAGTGTCAGCCATGTATGCACCGTGTGAGAGTCAAGGAGAGAACTTGCCGTGCGAGTGCTGCTCTGGAATTTCGTTTGAATTCGCAGAGCCGTGAACTTGTCCAAAACGGGGCCTTGAAGTGCAGAACCGTTGAACCGGCAGAACTGGCATCAAAAGTTTCAGTGTGTGCAGTTTGTGCAGTTTGTGCTGGGCCATGACCAGTCTGACTGCTTTCGCTGCATGGTGTCGCATGCAAGTGTAGTCATAGCTTGCCAATTGACACAGCAGCATACAAAAGGCCGATTTTCTTCTTGATGTGTGAGGCCTGATGGAGCCGTAGTGGCAACAGCTTCATACGATGCTGATGTCAAGATTTGGGATTCGAGGAGCCACCAGCCCAAAGGCGTTAGAATGGAACTTAATAGATCTTAACAGTAGTTGTCGAATATGTTGTCGATCATTTCTAGTCTCTCTAGTCTCACCGCGCTGAAGAGAAAGAGAGAGATATGAGGGAGATTCTTTCCTCCAAGGGGGCGAATGCCCAGAATGCTTATGTTTCACCATGTTTTCCAGCTGCGGGGAGGAGCTTCTCACCCGATGCTCTGGCTACAGTGGAGTGCTTAAATTTTGAGCCTCGAGAAGCTGATGACCCCCAAGGGCCCTGGCACCTCGGCTGAGGTTTCACTGCACGTCATGGCGGTGCTATCAGTGGCCTTTTCCGTGGGAATAGGTGGGGCACTTCGAATCACTGTAGCTCTGCAGCAGCACAGCACAGTTTGCAAAGCCAGGCTCGGGTGTGGTGCTGGCAACGGGCGGTGACGACGTCCAAGACTCAGATGATAGACGAGGCAAGATGAGGCGAGACAGGCGAGATGTTCCCATCAGAATCTTGGCTAATCATTGTTGGCTGGAGGACCTCATTGGATGGTTTGAGCTGACCACAATTCTGTCTTCAGGACCTGATTGCAATTCAGAGCACAAGGTTTTTGGGGTTTAAAGCAATCGTTTGAACTTCTAACCTTCGAGAACGATGAGCTAAATGATGCCACATGTATGTGTAAGACATTTCCATCAGCGCCTGCAGAGCGCTTCCAGGAAAGTCTTGGAGTGTTGAAGCTGCAAAATCTATCTCGCAGCCGTTTGGCCTTTTACTCAGGGACACATTTGGAAGGCCAAACCAAGTCTTAACCAAGTCTTGCTGGGAAATACCACATTTTTGAGGCTTGGTGCAGCCGCCATGGATGCCTTACAGCTGGTTTTTGGCATCATTGTTGTGGTGCTCATGCTTGGCCTTGGGGCGGCCATGTCTCCCAAGGATTTCAAAGCTGCCCTGCGTATGTGGAAAGCCCCGCTGGTTGCTGTGCTGTGTCAGTTCATTTTGATGCCGCTGATCTCCTTTGGCTTAGCATTGGGCCTGGGCGTGACCAAGGAACAGGGCCTTTCCATGCTGGTGGTGGGCTGCTCCCCAGGTGGATCAACCAGCAACCTCTTCGCATATTATTCCAGGGCTGATCTGCCACTGTCAATTCTGGCCACCAGTTTGTCGACTTTGCTGTCTGTGGCCTTCATGCCGCTCTGCATGTTCATCTACAGCGGGCCCTTCACGGATGAAACCGTGGAGATTCCCTTGACCAGCTTGGTAATGCCTCTCTCCTTAGCCAGGAGCCCAGTACAAAAATAAAACCCGTTCTTTGGATTTCTTTGGTTCATAAAGACACCATAAGACACCAATGCCAACAGCAATGATACAACTTGCTAGTGTGAGGACTTTGGGGGGTGGCTCACGGATTCGCATATAATGTGAACTGATGTGAACTGAATACATCTGAATACCAGAGAATGAAGCTTCCTCAATCTTCCCATACATTGTGTGCCACAATCTACCTGACTTGCGCCTTGGAGCATCCGTTCCCATTGATATCTATACTATATCAGACTATATCTGAGGTCATCCTGCCTGTAATGATGGGGATGGGAATTCGACACTTCTCGCAGAAAGTGGCACTTTGGATGGAAAAGGCAGCCTCCATCCTGGGCACCATCTTCCTGTTGGCTGCTTTGGTCATGGGGGTCGTGTCCAACTCGCATCTCTTTACGGATCATTGGAAGCTTTGGCTTGCCAGTGCTTTGCTGATGCCCCTGGGGAGCACGCTTGGGTACGTAAATGCTCGAGTTGCCCAGTTGCCACCCAAAGCTTGCCGGACAATTTGCCTGGAGACTGGCTTGCAGAACAGCACGCTGGCACTGACAATTTTGGCTTTCTCGTTTGGCGACACCGAGAGTTTCGGAGCGGTATCTGTGTTCCCGTTATTGTACAGTCTGTTCTTGTTGATCGATGGTGTGCTCATAACCATTCTCTTTCGATTCCTTTCGCGCAACGAGGGGATAGAGGACGCTGGTAACAACGCTGAGGGGAAAGAGAAGGCTGAGGAGCCTTCGGAACAGAAACCCCAGTCTCGCATGTCGAGCGAAGCAAAAGCAGAGTCAGTAGTTTCAGAGAAAGATGGCTCTCCAGACAGAAACACGTCGGTAGCAGAGCACAAACCTGGACACTTTGCGTCGGTCGTTTGAACATGTTTGAACAGTTCAAACCAATCATAACCGATCTTTTATGGTGCTACAGAGATCATGGAGATCTACAGGGCCAGGAGCTTCTGGCTGAATTCAAATGTCAACATGGGCCAAGGGCTGTCCAAAGCTAGCATGTGAACCTGCCTTAAATTGGGCAGCCAGTGACCACATTTCTTTTTGGCTTGAAGGCTTCCAACAGAGCACAGGTCTTTTTAGTCTTTTTGATTCTTTTTGAACATTCTGACTGTTTTTGTTCAGTGTCATTTTCTGCATTTTGGGATATTTTGGGATGAAACAGGTGAATTTGGAAAGACATAGTTGGATATTGCCGTCGTGCTTTCAAGACGCATCGTTTTGACCAATCCAAAAGACCTGTTATGGGCCACCTGTCTGAAGGACAGGTTGGTCCCAGCATCGTGATGATGTGAGAGGTTGGTGTGTTCAAGTGGCACAGTGCATGGAAAAATCATCTGCTTGTAGCTGCTCAGCGTCAATGAACCTGGAGTGACTGGAGTGATTCTTGATTCTCTGAGATGACATTTTCGGGATTCAATGATGATATTCCAACTGGTTTACCCAATTATACCCAATGGCCTCACCTGGTCTGTGCACAGCTACCAGGACAGACATCGAGTCCAGTCCCCTTTCGTTACTTTCGCGAGGAGCGAACGACTCATGGCCTGCTTTGCACTGAAAGCTGGGGGACCACTTTATTAATGGGGCGTGCCATTGCTTGGTACTCTTGTCGCTGAATGGCTTATACCTCTTTGAAATTCTTTGAAGGACTTAGCAAAAGCACAAACAGTGAGCAAGTTGAAGCGTAGCATCGAGTCAGTGAGCAAGTTAGTTGAAGCGCTGGATAAGGTCAGCTTCGAGTGAACCGAACGATATTGCACCCCACCCCACCTCACCTCACCCCAAGAGCATGTTTCCAGTCGCATTCCAGGGGTGTGCAAAATGCGTGAGTGCCAAGTGATGAATTTTCAGATCCTCCTTTCTCACGCCTTCCAGAGGTTTGAAGCTGTGTGAGTTCTAAGTGAGACGATTTGAGAGTTCTGAGTGATGTTTGAGAGTGCTACGTGAGCAGTAAGTGCTAAGTGAGAAAATGATAGAACATGTGAGTAAGTGATGAGGATACCCCTTGCTTTAATGTCTGGTGCACGATCTACAATTTGAGTCATCACTATTTTCTGGACCCACCCCACTTCGTAAAATGGGGCTTTATTGATCCTGGGCTGACATTGCGGCAAAGGCATACCATGACCACTCTTAGTCAGTAGGTTGCTGTTTGTCAAAGGTGTTGGTTAGATCACAAAGGCGAAGCAACATGGCTTTTGCCCACGCACGTGATGCTGTCAATACTGTCAGGAGGATGGTCTAGGAAAGAACGTTGCCATCCTGGCTTCTTGCTCAGACTGTTCAACCGGCTCCACATTTCCATTCCGCCAGGTGATCCCCCCTTGCTATCTTTGCGTCGTGGTGAAAGCCCTGAGGCGATGGCCTTTTCTTTGGACGGCTATTGGTTTGCTGCAGCAGGTGGGATGTGAGACGTGTAAGACCTCGGCTCAAACGACCCCTTGGAGGGTGGCCACGCAGGTCGAGGTGGTGTTGGAGCCCTGTGGAACACCCAAACCGTTACGAAGGTCCAGCAGTCGGACAGGGGAACGGCCGGGAATGGCCCTAGTAGTTGAGGCCCAAAGGTGATACCTCGCTGGAACTTAAGTTCCATCCAAAAATGATCAAAAATGTTCAAACTACCACCAAGGTTCCTGCGGGCTGGTGTTAGGGCATACCCTCTGAGATGCCACGGCAAAACAAAACAAGGTTCCTGCTGTTTTTTCTTAATATCACAGGTGAAAATATAGATTTATAGATCCAGTGGCATTCAGTGGTAAATGTGCTGTTGGAACTTGGAACTGTTGAAACTTGTGGTCCCAATAATTGGCATAGTGTGTCCGCTTTTTGAGTTTCAATTTCTTGTGAAGCTTGTGGTCGCGTGAGGTGAGGACCTTCGAGCTTGCTGCTGAGACGAGCTGAAGCCAAGACCGGTGAGGTATTCACCCTTTCAAGTACTTTCAAGGGGAGTTTATGTTCCAAACATATTCCATCATATGTATTTTCCATCATATTTTCCATCAGCATTTTACCAAACCATTTGGGATAGGCCTTGAGTCAGGCAGCGTAGTGCGACAAGAATACGGGAGTGATTTCGTGGAAAATTCCCGGCATTCTCTCCAGCAGACTCGGCATGATGCAAGCACTCAGGCCTGCCTTATCAAGCGTAAGCCATGCAAATTTTGCTGCGTTGGTCGTTGCCTCACTCTGCACTTGTGAAAGTCTTGCTGTGAAAACATCTTGATGCTCATGGTTGGTGACCCAAGAATAGAACAGAATTGAAGTCGCATTCGCTGGACGTTCTGCTTGCCCAGCGGATGCTGTAGGCTGGCCTATCCTTTTCGCAGGACTGCTTGCGATCTTGGCTTGGCATCATTTTTCAGTCGGTTTCAGAATGCAGGATGGGCAATGGCTCGCGATTCGTGGGCCAGCGGCACTTAAGCTGCTGTCTCAGTGGTTCAAGGGCTGGCGTCATTTGGTTTGCATCATGCGAAACGGAAAAAGCAAAGGGATTCATCGGTGAAAATCTTGGAAGGGCAACTGTACTGCTGCTTTGATATCTCTTCGCTGCAAGGATGCTTCCCTTAGCCAACGTGCAGCAGGGTTTGCCACCTCCCAGCCCTCAATGGGACAGGGCCTCAAATGTTTCTGAGTCTCTCTTGACGGCTTGGACGTGCTCCGCTCCAAACTCGCTCCGTTGTCACTCAGGTTGCTTTGACAGGGGAGGCCGCTGTCTCAGGGCACTTTCTTTGGCGAGCGGTGGAATCCTCATGGGCCTCGGCCTCAACAGCCAGCTCCAAGGACCTCGGGAGACCTGAGATTATTTTGTCGTGGTCATCAAGGCCATGTTGATCCATTGCATATTTTTGCATGCACAGATTTGAGTTTGAACGGCTCAACAGGGCTGTTGCATGCTGTTGCCACTTGCTGCCTTCGCCAGGTCGGGACCAGCGAAGCTCTCAGTGGCCATGCGGTACACTTTCAAACAGTGCTGCTGAGTGGCCAGGGTACTGTGCGCGGTTGTTCCTTTCCGAATGTCGCAAGGTCGAAAACATCCCGCAGCACCAGGTCAAGCTCCATTCGAACGGAACTGTGCTTGAGTTGAAAGCTCAAAAGCGAGCTTTCCGAAGGAAAGGGTCCTCCCAAGGTATGGCTGCAGTATGGCCAAACATAAACCAAACACAAGCACACAGAAAAGAAAGAAACCAAGAATACCGGCACGATGTCAAAGCATATTATTCAGAGGCCACTGGAGAGAAGGGGATGACAAAGGAGGTCCAAAGGGCACCAGAAGGTGCTGGAGTTTCACCTCCATCAAGGTCAGAGTAGCGCAGATGCAAACAACTCAAGCAAGGGAATCTTCTCAAGTCTAATATATATAAATATACACACCATATACATATGAGGTGAGTTCTTCCTGAGCACGCAGTTCTGTGGCACCATGTGACATACCAGCCGCAGCGCCCTTTCATACAGGTCCCTTTATGTTTTGCTCTACTGAGGCTCGCATTCGCGCCCTGCAATGTAACAGAGGGCTGCGGAGTAAGCATGGGTCTTGACATGTTCTTTGCTGTACCTGACAGTTCATGTGTGAGTGTTCAGGGATGCTGTTTTTAGAATCACTTCATCACAAGAAATGCGGGATATTCTTTCGATGGGTTAAGATACCAGAAGGAGACGGAGACTCCACTGGAATGCTTAGTGACTTAGTGATTGAGTACAATTGAATGCCAAGGCTTGCCATCTACTCGGGTGGACATTGCAGTTCCCTTTGACTTTGTCGTGGCCTGAGTGCCATGCTACGTCGTGCTGCCTTTGCTTGATCTGTTCGTGTGATGTGGAGACAGGTTGCAGTTCGTGGGTATTTCTTGGAGTACAGTGCCTGAAGCCAAGATAAGCCAAGCAGCAGCGCAGCATGCCTTGATCCAATTTGGGTTTCCATTTCGTGTTTTGGGGTCAGGACGTGTAAGGACCCGCATCAAAAATGTCATTGTGATATCAGCGGTCCAGGTGAGAGGAGCCCTAATTGATAGAGTCTGTGATGAGATCTTTTGAGATTTTGGAGTCCTTTTTCGTGTCACTTTGCTTGGCTCAACCTGCCAAGTTGAACGCGGATGATTTAGCTGATGACTGCCGTGGCGGCGCGCGACAGACCCAATGGGATGAGCCGAACCCTGCAAGGATGCGGGCGGCAACAAGCACTGGCTGCGGCTTGTCGGTTTTGCGAAACAGGGAACGGGATGGAACCGGCCCGTTTCCATTTATCCATTTGTAGGGTTGCTGATGTTGCTGCGCTACTCGCCGACCCTAGGTCAGTCTCACCTGTTAGAGAGAAAGAGAGCGAGAGAGAGAGAGAGAGAGAATGATATTCAGCGACACCCAATGAAAAAAGATCCTACCACAGTGCTCGAACATGGTTTATTCTGGCAGTTTTGGAGGAGCTATTTCACTGAGCTCGGCACTGGCATGTCAGCGGAAGGTACACTGTGAAGCTGTGATTCCATCAATTTCAAGATATTTCAAGATTTCAAAACCCTGGATCTATATGGATCTATATGATCTATGCCATGTGGAGGCCTCGATTGCGAAAGAGTCGGTCCAGAAGGAGATGAAGGACAGAACTTGTGTCATCCAAGCGTTTCGTGGCACATGTTTAACATGTTTGTCCCATGCGTCATCATTGATGGCCATCATCGTCACATGTCCTTGGTGTTAATGCTCCAGGACGTGAGACGGTTGAGGCTTGCAAGCAGGCCAACAAAAATGATATCTTTTGATCTCCTCCCGGCACGTGACGCACAGACATTGGGCTCAGGCCTGCAGAGAAAACTGTTTAGACCTCAGTTGGCCTTGCCAAATGCTCTAAAGCTCAGATCCTGCGATTCTCAGTGGGTTGAGGCTGGTGTGCATTTTGCATCCATACAAAAGCGTGTCATTTGTCATGTAGGATGATGTATCATCTGAATATAAGCCAATTTTGTCATTGCATCAGAGCATATCAGAGCATATCAGAACATATCAGAGCATATCAGAGCATATCAGAGCATATCAGAGCAATGCCCATATAGAAATATAGAGATTTGCCCACGCCGCCTGAACATAGTCCAGTCTACCTTGACTGACCAACGCAACAAAGATTACTGCGGGATTTTTCTTTTGTGGTGGCAGGCTTTGCTCGTTTTGACACTTCTTTGGTCCTGCTGCGTGGACACTGAGACTTCTGCAACCTCATCAACTACAGGGAAAGCGCTCGGAATTGTGACCTGCGCTATTGCTTGAACGCCTCCTCGTGTGGAACTTATATATAAAGAAGATCTCTTTTGTTTGAATTGCGGTGGTAGTTTGCACCAAGCAGCAATGCCATCAGCCGTACTTGACCTGGGGATAAGGCCAGAACTTTGGGACAATCCTGACGTCAACGTGCATGCCCTTATTGAGGCGAATGACACTGCCGGCACCTTTGACCCGAAGTCTCCCCCACTTCGCTGCTGGGAGTGCTGGGAGTGCTGGGAGTGCTGGGTGACTCTGAGGACGAGTTGCTTGACCCTACACACGATGGCTACGTCATGTCGGCCTCTCTGTTGTGAACCTTAGTGAATCACCATGATCTGCGGACAGTGCGGACAGTGGCAAGGTTTGGAGCTCCCAACGCCTCTGGCTGGGGTGGCATTGTGTATGGAGGGTGTCAAGCTGGAAGGGAGGTGCACAGCTTCCGAAACATGCAGGGGTTGTTGTTGCCTCGACCTCGACATACACGTGTAGCCTACAAACATATCACAACACATCCCGATTGGATCTTTTTTCTTATGCACTCATACCATTTGCATTCATTTGCTAAATAAATTAAATAAATGGATATTATGATTATTTGCTCAATTGTCCAGTGGTGAAGTGATATGAAGTGATATGAAGTGATCCCAGTTTGGATTGTCGCATGATGTCCTTGTTGGGTGCGATTGTTCTGCGCATGAAGGTGCCAACCTCTGGCGTTTGGATCACCATCCCAGAAACCGCTGTGCCGAGGATCGAATCACCGCTGCGTGAACACCTTTTAATCGTTTACAGTGATGAAACAGATTGACAAAGGGATGCGTGGGGTGTCGTGGGGTATTTTCTTGTAGACCGTTTGACTAGTAGGACCAGCACTTTGCGCTGGCAAGTTGCGCAAAGCCACTTGGCCAATACTTGGAGGACCTTGACAATTTGGGAGAGGGTTGCACGTCTGCATAGCGACCATGCGGAAGAGTCCCAAGCTCGTAGCTCCTTTCACTGACGGACGTGAGGTAGACACAGAGAGATCATGGCGATCGGAGAGGCAGTGTGTTTCCAAACATGCGGACGCACCATCCCATAGCTTCAACATACTTCAACCCTATTGGCCAAACTGGGGCACCAATTTTTTCTACCTGCCTCACTAGTGAACAAACAAGGCTGGAGAATTTGGAGAATCATTTCCTCTTGCGTTTGAGAACTGCAGGGTCCCACAATCATTATCATCATCTAAGATCATCAAAAAATAATTTCCCAACCTGTCCCAATTGGGAAACATCGCCAAACCATCAAAATGAAAGTCATGACTTCGCATCGCTGGTTTCTTCAGATTTTCCTGGAGCTGCTTCAACCCATTGCGGAAGAGCACACCATCGTAGAGCGCCAAGAGGACCTAAGAGGACCTAAGGATGGCGCAGACCAGATGAAGCTGACATGGAGATGACAAATCTGAAATTTCAGCAGTGGATACTTCTTTGATGATCTTGTGAAGCATTTGAAACATTGAATTCATTGAATTCCATGACAAGAGCAATGCGTGCCAAGCAGTGTGAAGCAAGCTGGCCTCTTTCCGAGCTTGTGTCAGTGCACATGTCTGTTTGTGAGTGTGAGTGAGTATTGGCTCTGACCAGCATGGAACCGGGGAGCATGATGTGACAATGGCATGCTTTGACCAATATTCCATCTTGAGCTACCAAACATCCACTAGTAACATCATGTAACATCCACTAGTAGCATCCTGTAACATCTAAGAACAGACGTGAATCCACCAGAATGTACGGAGGGCAGCTTCGCCGCAGGTCCAGCTTGAAGCAGGTGCATGTTGGCAGATGCTGAGAAAAGATAAGGATTCGAAGAAAGATTTCAATCCAGCAGGTGTGCTGCCAAGTCTTGCGCCCCGGCAAAAAACAGTGACGATACAACCCATCCTAAGGATCAAAGTTTCCACCCATCTGCCACCAGCTGGGAGCAAGCCGCCTGATGGGCAAACTGAACAAGATGGGGCACTCACAAAATCCTGCTTTCTTTCGGAATCAGAACATGATGAGATGCCGGAAATGTTCAGTCTCAGCACGTCAAGCATAGTTAGCTACCCTGCCTTGCAAATCACTGGAAGTGAGTGGGGTGGACCTGCTTCTTCGCTACTTCAAGAGGATCTTGTGCGAAACCAGAGGCTGAAGCACCAGCTATCACAATTGCGCCTGAGCGACTTTTTTGATGTGCATGGTGGGCCTCATTTCAAACTCTTGAGCATCGCCTTTGCGGCCAAGCAGAACCGAGATGTTGGCAGCACATTTGGATCTACTGGTGATCTTCATGCTTCTGTAGACGTTTCGACCTTGCAACGGCATATGGATGAGATGGATGAGATGGCTTTGGATGAGAGGACAGGCATGCTGGGAAGCTCCAAGGCATTTCTTGCGGCTTCAGAGGCCCGAGCTAAAGATATGCTGATGACACGGGAAAAGGCCGAAGCTCTCTTGAGAAAGGTTAATGATCAAGAACGTCTGCGCACAGCAGATGTGAACCAACGCAGGCTTGGCCGACTATTTGCAGAGATATCTGCCTTTGAGACAGTCCTGCCCAATGACATTGATATCAAAGATATTATGCCAACTGATTCTCTCGAAGAAGAAGAGAATACAGCGAAGCAGTTGACTGAGAGACAAAATGCATTTCTTGCAGACGAGAAGTTTGTAGAAGGGTCACAGATGTCGTGGCTCTTCACACAGACTGAAGTGCTTCTGATCACAAGGTGCATGCAACGCTGGAGTAACTCAACCCAAGCAGCACATGGAGCAGTCGTCACAGCTGGGATGGATCGGCCGACCTTTTGCCGAATGCTGCTGGATCTGGAGTTGGTGGGTGAGAAAGTACCGTACTTCTGGGCAGTGTGTCTTTTCGACAGTTTGGCCCTGCCAATGCGGCTCTGCCCGGATGTTGAACATGCTGCTGTAGCTCCTGTGTTGCATGTCGCCCCTTGGCAGCCGCACCCTATGGATTTTCTATGATTTTCTTGTTAGAGATATTAAAGAGTTATGTATATATATATATACACATAAATTATAATGTTTATTAAGTTTATTATATCATAGTACGCGCGCACACACCATTCCAAAACATCTTCTTAGTCTTCAGAGTTTGCTCATATGGACAGCCATCCCAGAGATGCATGTATCATGTATCAAACTTTAATTGCTTGAAGCACTCAGTTTTGATGTACTGTAGATACTGTAGATGGTTGTGCATGCAAGTTTGGCCTCTGCAGTTCGGCCTTGCGTTGAACCTGTTCGCCCTAAATTTTTCAACCCCTTTCATGTCAAAAGAGTAACTCTCAAGCGGCCGTCCTTGTGGCATTGCCCATGCCAGTAAGGTTAATCGATTCAGACTCATTTCGGTGTTGGATGTCATTATTCGACAGTATTTTGAAGCAAAGACTCGGGAGGATTTCTTGCAATCCCTGAAGAAGTATGCTAAGAAGCTGAAGGCCAGCGACCCAGGAGATTCGAAACGGGATTCACTGGACGCACAGGGTATGAAGCACACAGAGCCAAGCCGAAAGGGCCAAGGCCAAGGGCCCAAAAAAGCTGACAAGGATATTTTCAATCTTGCCAGGGACAGGCTGATTTCGGCCATGCTCATCGAGCCAGAGGTTCTTCATGTTGTTTACTGTTTCCAGCACCAGTTCAGAATCCTCTTCAACTGCTATGCACCCAAAGGACACATGCAATTCACAGAGCTATGGCAGTTTTGTGTAGACTTTCAGCTGACCCCGCGGTTCATTCCGGAACAGCAGCTCCGTAGGGCCTACGAAGCTGCCGAGTGCTTTTTGGTCCTTGCCCCGCGATTAGTCAGGAAGCCTCCGCGTGCGTCGAAAGCGCGGGGCAAAGCCAAGGATGGAAAGGGACGTTCCAAAGCTGCATCGTCACCGATTCCACCAGCACCAGGGACGGAAAGGGAACGCCTTCACAGCACCGACTCCGCAGTGTCTTCGACTCTTTCAGAAAATGAGCAGCACGAGTGCGAAACCGTTTTTGGTGCAAATGCTTTTGTTGAGACACTTTGCAGGGTAGCTTTCCTCTACCTTGGCTTCTATGGCAGCACATTGCAGCAGAGCACCTCCTCCTACTTCAAGGTGACATGGCTTGTGAGCTACTTGCGTCGGATGTCATGTCTGATGCTTGACAATCCACCGGAAATGCCAGACCCAGAGGCCGCAAGCGGGGCAGCTGCGTTGGTGACTCAGTTGCCTGGTCTGTGGGATGACTTCTCCGAGGACCCAGGTGGCCAGAGCCTGCTGCAACCTCATCCTGGACCTGGAAATCGAAAGCCACTACGCCGACAATCCAGGCAGCAAAGCATGGCACCCAGCCTAAAGCCAAGCAAACAAACCCGAGATGCTGCACTCTCCCTGAAGAAGCAGAAAACCATGAGCAACATACGAGAAGCAGTAAAGAACTTGGGACGGGCAGCCTTGGTTGTCAAGAAGATGGCAGAAACCCAGCAGTTGAGTGGAGTGGTTCCGAGAAAATTGGATGACTCCTCGAGTGAAGAGGACATTCCACAGCCCAGCCCCTCAAAACTTACACTCTCAAACAATGAGACCAAGGAACGAATTGCAGCTCTGACAACCAGGATGGCAGTTTCCTTCCATAAGCCCAAGAAGCAGAAGAAGACAAACACCAATGACATGCCAGTGGAAGAGTTGTTCAAAGTGGAAGCAGGGAAACCAGCAGTTGTGAACGGCATTTGCCAGCTCTGTGGGAGAAGCCGAGAAGACACCCGCCTCGGAAATCCGGCCTGCCGTGGCTGTTCAATCGTTGATTCCATCCACTTGCAGGCTCATCCGTTTGCACGGCTGCTGTCTCTTGACTCAAATCCCTACGGAAATGCCAAGGTACTGAGGCCCAGGGCCAAAGCTCACACTGGAGAACGGTTGCGCCCTGCTTTTAGGCTACCCGAAGTAGAGCTACCACGAATTGAATCGCAAGCGCTCCTTGACTAGTTACACGAGCTGCTGGCATTTGCGCCAGAGGCAGAAGCAAGGCCAGTCTTGGTAGTGTTGTTGGACACCGCTGATGAGGGGAAGCACATTGTGCGTCTCACCACTTGGAAAAACCGAGTGACTCAGTGAACATGAAGTCAACTCCCAAAGGATTCCAGCTTGGAGTTTGAAAGAGGGCACCAGGCTGTGACGGAGACCGGCGCTACCAGAGCCAGGGCCGCCAGGGTTTCACGTTTGGAAAAATGGATCGCTTGCGACGTCAAGGGGACGCCGGTTGCGACCTGCCATGAGGTGGAGCCAGCGGCTTCCAAGGCTACACGCTTGGAGTGGAAGACCTGGGAGCCAGCCTTTTTTGGGCCCATGCCATGGCATTAAGATGGAACATGATGGAACACATATGAAAACATATTGAATAAAACAATATACTGTATATATATATATATATCTCTCTCTCTCTCTCTCTCTCCCTCTCTGTATATCCATGGCATACAGTTACAAAACACTCCACAGGTTTCTTCCAGAATTTGGTGGGTCACCTGCAACTCCGACCGTTTTTGTGCGGCGTGCCGATGCTGGCAGATGGTGACCATGGCTCCTGATCGCCTGGCACATGACTGAGAATCCTTACGGTGCAGTTTGACATGCAGATCCAACAGCCAACTCCTTTTCCCAAACGGTCTCAGTGGGGTTCCCTGTTGAGTTCCTTGTGTATGCATTGTTATGTGTATGTGATTTGATCACACGCACATAATCACACACACACATATATACATATATATTTATATATATGACATATGATTAACTTGATAATATAACATATGATACAATTTTATATGATTCAATATCTGATTCACTCAAAGCGGCAAGAACATTGAGGAAATTGTAGCTTCCACAGCTATCTACAAAGGATCACTGGCTGTTGGCATCTCAGTTTGCTTTGCTTAGCTGCGTTATGATGGAGTGACCAGCTGCTTTAAGGTCTGGGATGCCCGTGGGTTTGATATCCCATCAGGGCGGTACGAGGACGTTATGTAAACGTAAACATTGCCTTGCTGCGGTTGTGGATTTCTCTATCTTATCTCGACTTTCAAAGGGTGAGGTCGAACAAAAACTGTCTGTCTGTCAGATTCAGAGAGGCTCACCAGCCGAGACGCATCATCCCTGAAAATTATGCATGAATGTTGCACAATTCGCATGATCATTCACTGTGATCATCACCGCAGTGAAGTCAAACCTTTCATCCCAGATGTACATTTCTGTGCCATCCTGAGGGGTGGAGCATGGTCGGGCTGAAATGGGTTGAAATGTCGAGGAGTACAAACTCAGATCCGTGTTCAGCTTCACCGTCCGTGCTCCATTCCTTCAGGACGGCTGCCACCGGTGGTGGTTGTGATGGTGGTGGTGGTGGTGGTGGTGGTGTCACGACTTTCATGACTTTC